TGAAACGGAAAATCTAGTTAGGCATGATGGATGAGTGGATAGCGCTCTCGCCTCGCGTTTAAAGAGAACCGGGTACGAATCCCTGTCGGACCTCAAAGGTTTATGTTGACATCACAGTCTTGAAAAATGATTTCGAGAAATTGAAGTGTAGAAAATGTCAAAGGTTTTTTCAAGTATACTTTAGTTGCCAGGGTTTACAGTGCACTTTGGACATGCTTATTGTTTTGAAAAATAAACAAAATATAAAATCACTTAATGACATTTTACTATCACTTTAATTTTCACATAAAAAATAAAATAATAACACAGACAATGCAGTAACGTAATATTGTGTACAGACAAGTATGTAAAGCTCATTGAATCAGTGAGTTGCATGTAATGATTTATCAGATCCACCAGGCGTCAGTATAGAGCAGCACAGGCAACACTGTTGTGGCACAGTATCAATGCAGTTCGTTGGATGTGCCGAAACGATACGTGAGGTTTCATTTACCCATCACTAGTGTGCAGTGAATGTGGTGTATAAAACAAAAGACAAACTCAAATGTGCAAAAAGGGAATGGGCGTGGTGGTTCAAGGTAGAGCCCACCAGGACAGGACCAAGCAGAGCAGCACAGGAGAGAAGTGAGCAGCTCTCAGCTCCCAGGTGAAGAGACCCACTGATGAGGGGCGTGGCATGGTGCAGGTGTGGACCTGCATATAGGAGGAGACGGCAGAGAAGGCAGACAAACCCCAGACAGCTCCCTCTCCTGGACAGAAAGGGCCTGGCCCGTAACAGTAAGTTGCAAACAGTAATGATGCACTTTATTCTGCTACTGTCTTCAAACAATCAATGTATTCTGTTCTGTTTTATTGTGTTTCATTATGTTTTTATCATAGCATTTTATTATGACCCATCGTGACAAGTGTTGTATTAAAATATAGACTAAAGCAAATGTGAATTTGACTGACCCTGATTTGAACTCTGTATCTTTCTAAGCCAAAAAAGACCTTGTATTGCTCTTCTCCCCTTGTCCCATTTTAGTCCAAAGTGCAGGATAAGTTAATGATAGTTAATCTCAGGCCAAGAGGGATCTGCCTGCCTAGATTCTGTTAATCCTTTCCGTTGTTTAGAGAAGGAGATGGAGGCCAGAATCTGGAGGAGCAGCCTTGAGAGCCTCCTGCCTTATCTCAAGGAAGTAATAAATCTATAGATTGGGGAGGGGTAGTGTGTGAATGATTCTGTTTAGGTCTGGAGAGACGGAGGAGACCTGATGGAAAGGCCGGACCCGAGACCAGAGAGCTGACTGATACGACACGCCCCCTTCTTCATGCACATTTGCTTAAATAACCTCATGCTTGTTTGAGTCTAGACTGGATCAGGGACAGCAGTGTGACTTGCGTGGAACGCCCACCTAAGTTATACTTTATATAGGGAATAAGGGATAGTTAAGTTTGATCCAGGTCGATTGTGTTAGATTCTTTTGTATTAGGGAAATAAACCTTTTTTGAATTTAACTTTCTGAATCCTGGTCATCTTTATAAGGGATTTTGAACACGTCATTTTTTAATACAATACAAGTAATAAAATACGGAACTCATGAACTGGAGCAGACTTTAATCGTCATTTATTTTACTACAATCAGGACCTTTGGACTGGGGATGAAATATCTCTCTTTGACACACACACACTTCTGCTGTTGCGACAGGTGAGAACTGAACATGTCTCTGAAGAACTGTTTAAATCTGTCGTCTCTGAAGTGACACTTTCTTTCTGAATAACACAGTAAATGCATTTACTGTGTTATTTATTTCTGCAGTGGGTTACATTGTAGCAGGATCCAGGACATTTCTGTTGTTACCACAGACAGAGGTCAAACACATGGCTGCTGTGTTTGTTATTATTGCATCTACTGTGTTTGAACTGTTTGATTCTCTGAACTGTGATGAGCAACCCACAAATTTGTAAAATCTTTTTGGACACACACACTAACCCTAGACACACACTCACTGACCCTGGACACACACACATATAAATAATAAATATATTATCATTATTATCATTATCATCATATTTATCCAATCCTAATGTTAATGAGGTAGTGCGACCCTGGATCTTATCTGCACCCGCCCTTTGTGCCTGAAATGGGGAACACTGGAAAGATCCCCATCCCCTCTGAGTATGAGCCTTGAAGCAGCTTTGGACATGTTTGAGCCTTTTTAGGACTTTTAAAATACATTTGTTTATATGGCGCCTTTCTATTTTGTTTGTTATATTGCTAATATATTTTTATTTCTCTCCCTAGAACGTGTAAGAAAGCCATGGTCTGCATCTGAGGTGAAGGCTGTGGAGAAGACCATGACACCTTTCATACAGACTGGAAAGGTCCCTGGGAAGTCTCACTGCCTGGCCTGCATTAATGCCTCACCAGATGACCTTAGACATCGGACATGGAGTGGCATTAAATTCTATGTCAAAAATAGAATCACTGCAATTCAAAAAAAAATCAAAAATAAAATTCCTTTAAAAGAGATGTTTGGTTTCTATTGACTGTTTTGTATTACTTAAAGTAGTCCCAGTAAAAAAGATTATGTCTATGGGTCCCATTCTGAACGGCCCTGTCAAAGGGACCCACCAGGTAACACAAACGTGTATGTGTGTGTCTGTAGAGTGAGTATGTGTGTGTTGTGTAGAGTATGTGTGTGTTTGTGTAGAGTATGCATGTGTGTGTGTGTTTGTGTAGACACTATTAAACCTGTTGATACGTTTGGACTTGGTGAGTTTGAAAACAAAGTCCAGCTTAAACCTGACTCTGACATTTCAGAAACTCAAAGTGAAAGTAAAGGTTTGACAGTCGGTCCTCTCTTTTGAATGTCTTTTGTAAAAGTCGCTTCATGGAACTTCTGTGGGAATGAATCCACATGTTTCCACTTCAGTGTTTGTCCAGAAGAGAACAATGTTTTCAAGAGTCCAGTGGGTGAGAACAGAAAGTCACTGAGGGGCTTGTGGGGTCAGAGCGTTTATCCAGGAAAGATTAGTAAAGCTGGTAGACCCTGAGTGTGTTCTCTATTAGTGAACAGAGACTTTACATCCATAGTAACAAGCAGAGGCTCACACACTCTTCCATTTGTAAAAGAACGTGTGTAGAATCTTGTAGAAATGATGCTAAAGAGCTCGTGAAGGGCTTCATGAAGAAATCCATGTATTTTCTGCAGGTTAAGCCAGATTCTTATGCCTCTACCTGGAATCAACACAAAAGATCAAATGTTTATTAAAAACAGCCTTTTAGACTATGAACACAGATACACTGTAATCAATGAGTGACATTACAACCGTAGCCCACAAGGGGGCGCTCTAACTCTAAATGGTGTTACGTGGAACTTTATAATGAAAAGGCAAACTATATGTGTAGCAGAAACGGGCTGTTCTAAACTATACACACACAGACACACATATGTACATTATCCACATATAGCAGGGCTTATTATGGAGTGCTCCTACAGTCATGCACGTGGCGCACCACGTGTTGTAGCTACAAGGAGGAAGCGGACATTAAAGTATATAAATGGAGCATAAATATAGATTGGCACATGGTACTCACTTTGCATAGACGCACACAGAACTTATACACACAGGATTATTGATGGTTGGCATGACGCACGCGCACAGGCTCCGCCCCTAACACTGTAAAGAACAGCTCTGAACATGGCTACGGGAGACCCTGGGGAACTACAATATTAACAGGTGCATCATGGGAAATGTAGTGACAGACATTTAACAGTGATATTTGTCACTATTCAATATTATTGAGATACTTACAATATTCGACAGTTTTGTGATTTGATTCTGTGATTGATTGTGATTCATGTCCTTCATATTATTCAAAGACTTTACAAACATGGAGGAAAATAAGACTCAACTCAAATGTCATTTATTATGGTCTGTTCTTGAAAACGTGAAAAATGAACAATCAGGACACAGGAACTAATTACAGACACAAAGACACAACAAACCAACATCATAGAGTCACAACAAGGAACAGAAAACAAACATGAAAATGAAACACTGAACAGAATGGATTCTTTCCCCAAACCAGGAGTTAAGACTGAAGTGAGATCCTGTAGAGTCTGACTCTGGGTTCACAGGATGCAGCCTCAGCTCTGTCTCCTTCACTTTGGTCCAGATGCTTCAGACCTGCTTCAGACCTGCTTCTCTACAGGTTTTAATGTGTTTAGTAAGAGAAATCCTATGAGTAAAACACTTTTCACAGACAAAGGGTTTCTCTCCAGTGTGGATCCTCTGATGCACTTTGAGATAATCACTCTGAGAAAAACTCTGACCACAATCGTCGCAGCTGAAGGGCTTCTCTCCAGTGTGGATTCTTTTGTGCTGGTTAAGATGTCCTCTTCGGGAAAAACATGTTCCACACTGGTCACACTCGTACGGCTTCTCTCCAGTGTGGCTCCGATGGTGAACTGTGCGATGTGCTGCTGTTTTAAAGGTTTTACTGCAGAAGTCACATGCAAAGGGCTTTTCTCCAGTGTGGATCCTCTCATGTGCTTTGTAGTGTGAAGACTGAGTAAACTTCTTCCCACAGTCTCCACAGACGAATGGTTTATCTCCAGTGTGGATTCTGTAGTGCACAGTGAGGTCAGATAAACATGTAAAAGTCTTTTCACACTGGTCACATTGGTGAGGTTTCTCTCCTGTGTGGACATGCTGATGTTGGGTGAGCTGGTATTTTCTCCTAAATGTTTTTTCACACTGGTCACACTCAAATGGTTTCTCTCCTGTGTGGATCCTCTGATGAGCTTTGAGAGTAGTCTCATGTCTAAAACTCTGATCACAATCGTCGCAGCTGAAGGGTTTTTCTCCAGTGTGGATTCTGCTGTGGACCATGAGACCTTCTTTTGTAGTAAAACATGTTCCACACAGATCACACTCATATGGTTTTCCTCCAGAGTGAGTTCTGTGGTGGGTCTTTAGATCAGAAGCAGAGCTGCAGGTCTTTCCACACTGATCACAGGTGAACCCCATTCTGTAGATGGACTTTGTAGATCTGCAACAAACACAACAACGTCAGATAATTCTAATATGTTTGATGGTGGTAGAAGTGAGAAATGATATTGTTCTCTTTCAACATCAAACATCGGGTTCTGCAATTAAAGCTGGTTGCTCCCGACCCATGGGCTACACCCCCCACCCTGTATAGGAGCCACTTCTACAACCTCAGTCCTGGGTCTACAGCCTCAGTCCTGGGTCTACAGCCTCAGTCCTGGGTCTGCAGCCTCAGTCCTGGATCTACAGCCTCAGTCCTGGGTCTACAGCCTCAGTCCTGGGTCTACAGCCTCAGTCCTGGGTCTACAGCCTCAGTCCTGGGTCTACAGCCTCAGTCCTGGGTCTACAGCCTCAGTCCTGGGTCTACAGCCTCAGTCCTGGGTCTACAGCCTCAGTCCTGGGTCTACAGCCTCAGTCCTGGGTCTGCAGCCTCAGTCCTGGGTCTGCAGCCTCAGTCCTGGGTCTACAGCCTCAGTCCTGGGTCTACAGCCTCAGTCCTGGGTCTACAGCCTCAGTCCTGGGTCTACAGCCTCAGTCCTGGGTCTACAGCCTCAGTCCTGGGTCTGCAGCCTCAGACCTGGGTCTATGGCCTCGTCCTGGGTCTACAGCCTCAGTCCTGGGTCTACAGCCTCAGTCCTGGGTCTGCAGCCTCAGTCCTGGGTCTACAGCCTCAGTCCTGGGTCTGCAGCCTCAGTCCTGGGTCTGCAGCCTCAGTCCTGGGTCTGCAGCCTCAGTCCTGGGTCTGCAGCCTCAGTCCTGGGTCTACAGCCTCAGTCCTGGGTCTGTTCATGTGGCTATGAACAGATATAAACTATGACGTCATACAATGAACTTTAGAAACAGAAATAGGGAAATGTACAGTCTGACATAGGGGTGCGCTGGCTGATTAAGGACCACGACGACACATGTAGGATCACTGGTTGACTTTATCTGCAGTTCTGTATAAAAAATAAATAAAACACAAATCCTCATGGTCTCTCCATATCACACGCTCGCAGTCCCCTGTTAGCAGCTAGCTCTCACATGTGACTACATAAACTACCAGTGATGGGCAAGCTACTTGATTTATGCAGTTAGCTAAGCTACTCTACAATAAATTCAGCTTCACTTTACAGAAGCTACCACCCATAAAAATGCAGCAAGCTAAGTTACAAAATTCTGTCAAAAGTAGTTTGCTATATAGAAGCTACTTTCAAGTAAACAAACTGCAGTCTATGCAATTTTAGTGATAAATACTAAACTGTCAGTCAGAAAAAGGTTAAAATTTAGATATTTATAGAATAGCCCAAAACACCAACAACAAAAGACAAGAATGCCCTTTGCAATTGTAAATAAAATAAATTGAGAAATTATAGCAATAAGCCATTACAAATTAACATGTACTTCATTAGAAATGTTTTTTAACTGTTGTTTATAACAATAGCCCAATAAACACGAAACAAATGTGAATCCGAGCCAATTAATGGCTCTATTTAAGCAAGAATACCCTCTGAAACTAAAAAGAAAACACATAAGTTTACAAATGAACTGTGCTAGAACTATGTCTGACCAGTTTATGAAAACAATGGTAACATCCTACAGCCTTATTATCAGTCAGAGGAGCTTTCTCTGGGATTACAGAGTAGGATCTGAAAACATTTCTGTTCGCTCGTCTCCACTAAAGTGACGTGCTTTTGGAGGTATGGCCACGGTGAGGTCTGGACTCCACCGGGCGCGTCTCCGTTGACGCGCGTTGGCTGCTGTCCGTCGGACGTCCGTAAAACGGACTAGTGATCTAAACTTATTGAAAGCAATTGGAAAAATGGGAGAGAGAAAAGAACTCCAACATATCCAGTGTTGTGAGATCTGTCTCTCATAAGTGCAGTAGCTCTGTGGGTAATGTGTGTGTGTGTGTGTGTGGATGGGAGCGCACGGCGGTGAGAGCAAGGGGACACAGCAAGTGTCCAAGGGGACAGAGCAAGTGTCCAAGGGGACAGAGCAAGTGTCCAAGGGGACAGAGCAAGTGTCCAAGGGACACAGCAAGTGTCCAAGGGGACAGAGCAAGTGTCCAAGGGGACAGAGCAAGTGTCCAAGGGGACACAGCAAGTGTCCAAGGGACAGAGCAAGTGTCCAAGGGGACACAGCAAGTGTCCAAGGGACAGAGCAAGTGTCCAAGGGGACAGAGCAAGTGTCCAAGGGGACACAGCAAGTGTCCAAGGGGACACAGCAAGTGTCCAAGGGACAGAGCAAGTGTCCAAGGGGACAGAGCAAGTGTCCAAGGGGACACAGCAAGTGTCCAAGGGGACAGAGCAAGTGTCCAAGGGGACACAGCAAGTGTCCAAGGGGACAGAGCAAGTGTCCAAGGGGACACAGCAAGTGTCCAAGGGGACAGAGCAAGTGTCCAAGGGGACACAGCAAGTGTCCAAGGGGACAGAGCAAGTGTCCAAGGGGACAGAGCAAGTGTCCAAGGGGACAGAGCAAGAGAAAAAAAGAGCGAGGTGTATGTAAAGATTAACATTACGCGAAAGATAAATGGTAGATGTACGATCAGGAAACAATTATTTAAATTAATACATGAAAAAAATTACACGTTTGTTAATAATCATTGTCATTAACAAACACTTATAACCAGGACTACAGCATATATCAATACATGTTTAATAATGTTGTAAATATATTAATATATATATTATTCATTGTATTTCCAATGGAAAACGGACCCAACACGCGTCAACGGAACAAATAGGATTGTTTCTATTTCGTCCGTCCGCGTCCGTTGCACCCTCCGTTGATGGAATCCGGATGTTGGAGGCAGTGGAGCCACTTCCATTCACCCTCATGGAAATAACGGAGACGGAGATGAAACGGACATGTTTGGACGGATCCGTCGTCCGTATCTCCATGAGGGTGAATGGAAGTGGCTCCACTGCCTCCGCATGCGTCCGTCCAACGCATGTCGGACGTATTCTGTCAACGGAGGGTGCAACGGACGCGGACGGACGAAATAGAAACAATCCTATTTGTTCCGTCGACGCGTGTCGGGTCCGTTTTCCATTGAAAATACAATGGAATAATATATTGATATATGTGCAGCCGGTTTGACCACTAGTCTTTTTTATGGACGTCCGACGGACAGCAGCCAACGCGCGTCAGCGGAGACGCGCCCGGTGGAGTCCAGGCCTCAGTTTAAGCCTAGTGTATACTTGCGCGGCGTGGCTTACGTTAGCGGTTGCGGTGGACCTACGTAAGCACAATTGATGTTATACTGGCGCGTTCCCCTTACGGAGTTTTGAGGAGAATGTTGTAATCCCACAACAAACCACATGAGGGCGATCACACAGGAGCGGTCCCATTTACGCTGCTACTTTGTCCTCTTCAGAACAACAATAACAAACAAAGCTGTTTGAGCTCATTACACGTGTTTCAACTGTAGGTCTATGTGATAGTTTTATGGATTCATTATTTTATAAGTCATTTCAACTGTGATGCTGTGAATAAAGACACAGTTCTGTTGGAAACATAGTTATTATTAAATAGTTTTCAGCACAAACAGCAAAACAATAATAGTGGTAAATATCTGAGACAAACATGAACGATTTACGAGTGTATATATGTTAGATATAAGTTATATATATGTTAGACATAAGTTATATATATGTTAGATATAAGTTATATATATGTTAGATATAAGTTATATATATGTTAGATATAGGTTATATATATGTTAGATATAAGTTATATATGTTAGATATAAGTTATATATGTTAGATAGTCCACAGTCTGCTCCATAGTGCCTCGTCCATGTTCCTGCTGCAGCCGCTTCATGCTTCCTTCCAATACACACACACGGACCAATCACAGCGGAGCTTCCTTGCGGCGACCTTTACGTAGTTAGAAAATGTCGATGCTGCGCGGCAGGCGACGTAAGGGCCTTGCGGTGACCAACGCGTTGCGCAAGTGACGTCACGTCACCTCCGTAAGCTCCGCGCGAGTATAAACTAGGCTTATGGCGCCAGATTTACGCCAAAAGTCCACACGCGCAATTAAAACATACACGCGCAGCTTTATGTAATTCACACGCGCGTAAACTACTCTCCACGCGCATATTTCACACCACACGTGCGCAGACTCAGTACCACGAGCCACAATACGCACGTGTGTGCGCTCGTGACCTGCCCTCTCCCTTCTCGTGGTCTGTGTTCTGCGCGTGAAATACTTTTGTCGCTTGGGGGCGGGGCCAGTGAAAGGTAAACAGCCCACTGCAGCTTGGGGGCGGGGCCAGTGAAAGGTAAACAGCACACTGCAGCTTGGGGGCGGGGCCAGTGAAAGGTAAACAGCCCACTGCAGCTTGGGGGCGGGGCCAGTGAAAGGTAAACAGCCCACTGCAGCTTGGGGGCGGGGCCAGTGAAAGGTAAACAGCCCACTGCAGCTTGGGGGCGGGGCCAGTGAAAGGTAAACAGCCCACTGCAGCTTGGAGATGGAAAGCATATGATTAATCCATAGACTGTATATCTTTTTTCTAACCCTAACTGGGCTATTGTAGTCTTTAACGTGGCATGTACACTGTTGTGGACACCCTATAGGCTTACACCAGGACGTGTTTAGTTCGTAAATGTTTAATATTCTCTCCTAATAACGTCATCAGCCTATGTTGCCGCAAGGCTAGCCAGGTACATCCCGGGACCTTTGTCATCGCTGTACGTTGTTTACACTGAATGCTTTGTCAGGATCATGTCAGGACCGTTATCAAAGTTTAATAAAACTGTCTCTGAGTTATTTGTTTGCTTTTTATTTGCATAATTATAGCGGTTTGACCTAATGAGTCTATGCTAACTAGCAATAAATCTGTCAGTCCATAAACCCAAATATCAAAAATGTGTATACAAAGTTTTGAAACAAATGAGCTAAATATCTGAATTGTTAACATTGCTAAATAGTAGTAAACTTCATTTGATTTCGTGTATTTTTATTAAAATTAACTTAAAATTGGGGCTAAGCTGTTTCAACCTGTCATAATTGGCTTCTGTACCTGTATTGTGTTTGCTAGTTTAGGATGGCTATCATCTCTACACACTACACAGAACCCCTGAATAGTTCTGATGGTGCAGGTTATCTTCATGGTCCTCTGCGATGGGCACCAGTTCCTGATCCACACACACTGCAGACCGGCAAGATGTAAAACATCATTAGGTCAGACTTCGTTTGCAGTCAAAGAGCCACAGCTCTGGAACATTTTACCTGCTGAACTGAAATCTCTAATATTTTTATGCCTTAGCGACTGCCAATTATCTGTTTTCTATACGGCCTATGAACATGGCATTGGTTACCTGTAACTAGGGTTGGGCATCGTTTGCAATTTTCCGATTCCGATTCTCACTATCGATTCCTGTTCTAAACGATTCTCGATTCCGATTCTTTGAGGTGCAGGAGAGAAAAAAAAAAAGATAATTTTTTATCAAATTTTATTTCATAAGTACTTTTCCTGCCATAAGGCAACAGAAAGTGCTTTACATAAAAACAAATTAAATTAAAAAACAAGGAACACGAACACACACACACACACGCGCGCACGCACGCACGCACGCACACACACACACAAGCGGTGTTTATGTGGCACCGCCCACCATCATCTCAGAGCGGCTGAAATGTAAACACGTCTCTGTAAACCGCTGAAAAACGGCTAAAGTGAGAATACTGGAGGATTATCAATGGACGGACAGATTTGACCAAAGCACAAGGACTCGTGCATCGTGTTTTCGGAGTTTTTTACGGATTATTACATGGAGGAGGAGCAGGACTTTTTGCGGTCCTCGGCAGGTGGACAGCGTGTTTCCCTTCTTCATCATTACAAAGGGCCTGACCAGTAACTTTAAGGTAAGGAACATCAGTTTTGGATGTGTTTGTAAAGCGAGTGATGAAACTGATGTAGCGTGAGTTTGGGGAAACTGCACCGGGCTAGCACGAGTGTTCAACCGGTCAATACGCCCGTTAAACCTCGCTGTCTGGACTCAAATAATATCTGAATTAATCATTTGACGGATAAATGTTTGCTTCCTTTACCCCTTGACTCAGTTTTATCTGCGTTTGTGGAAAATGTGAAGATACAAGCGTTGAGAGGTTTCTTTGCGATGGCAGGAGTGTGTGGCTGAAGCTAAATGTGGATGCAAACACGAGCGCGCCGTCTCATAAGAGCTTAATTCACTGAGTTTTTCACAAAGCACAAAGGTGGACAGCTGCTAAGCATTTTTGAAACGTGTCCCCCCCCACCTTCCAAACGCTTCCGACGCCGCTGTGCGGGCCGCATCCGGCATTTAGGAATCGAAAAAAGAATCAAAATACAAACGTCTTCTTAACGGTTCCGGAACCGCACTTTAGGAACCGGTTCCAAATAGGAACCGGTTCTCGGTGCCCAACCCTACCTGTAACAATACTTTTTGTTCTGTGCCTGTCAAATAAACATATAATAATAATACTATTCTCACAGAACAGTGGGTTGTAGATAGAGGTGCAACGGTTCATCACTGATCCGTGATCCGTTCGGTTCAACGACTTCGGTTCGGTACAGACGTGATCCGCGGTTTGATTTATGAAAAAAAAGTTGTGCGCACGTTGTTCAGTCCACACACAGCGCGGTCATTGCGAGCGGAGGAACGGAGATGCTTGAAAGCCCCGCGTCATTTAAATCCCAGTATGAGAGCATTTTGGCTTCACTGTAACTACACTGATGATTAATATTCGACAAAACTGTCACGATGTGTAAGCACTGTGGCACAAGAAAGACATGAGTGAAAAAAGCGTCTCAACGACCACCTATTGTCGCGGCATTTAAGCAGCTCCTTTACGCACAGTCAGACCGGGCTAAAGTCAACTCTCCCGCGCATCCTCAGCTGCGCTCACGACTGACGCTTGGACGTCCCGCAGAACCTATAATAGATCCATGAGCGGAACCGCTCACTTCATCACCGCAGACTGGGAGATGAAAAGTCTGGCGCTGAAGACACGCCCCCTCTACGACAGTCACACTGTCACACAGCACAGGTACTGTCACACAGCACAGGTACTGTCACACAGCACAGGTACTGACACACAGCTCAGGTACTGACACACAGCGCAGGTACTGTCACACAGCACAGGTACTGTCACACAGCACAGGTACTGTCACACAGCACAGGTACTGACACACAGCTCAGGTACTGACACACAGCGCAGGTACTGTCACACAGCACAGGTACTGTCACACAGCACAGGTACTGTCACACAGCACAGGTACTGTCACACAGCACAGGTACTGTCACACAGCACAGGTACTGACACACAGCACAGGTACTGACACACAGCTCAGGTACTGACACACAGCACAGGTACTGACACACAGCTCAGGTACTGACACACAGCACAGGTACTGACACACAGCTCAGGTACTGTCACACAGCACAGGTACTGTCACACAGCACAGGTACTGTCACACAGCACAGGTACTGACACACAGCTCAGGTACTGACACACAGCACAGGTACTGACACACAGCTCAGGTACTGACACACAGCGCAGGTACTGACACACAGCGCAGGTACTGTCACAAGCAGCACAGGTACTGTCACACAGCACAGGTACTGACACACAGCACAGGTACTGTCACACAGCACAGGTACTGACACACAGCTCAGGTACTGACACACAGCACAGGTACTGACACACAGCTCAGGTACTGACACACAGCACAGGTACTGACACACAGCTCAGGTACTGACACACAGCTCAGGTACTGACACACAGCACAGGTACTGACACACAGCGCAGGTACTGACACACAGCGCAGGTACTGTCACAAGCAGCACAGGTACTGACACAAGCAGCACAGGTACTGTCACACAGCGCAGGTACTGACACAGCACAGGTACTGACACACAGCACAGGTACTGACACACAGCACAGGTACTGTCACAAGCAGCACAGGTACTGACACACAGCACAGGTACTGACACACAGCACAGGTACTGACACACAGCACAGGTACTGACACACAGCACAGGTACTGACACAGCACAGGTACTGACACACAGCACAGGTACTGACACACAGCACAGGTACTGACACACAGCACAGGTACTGACACACAGCACAGGTACTGACACACAGCACAGGTACTGACACACAGCACAGGTACTGACACACAGCACAGGTACTGTCACACAGCACAGGTACTGACACACAGCACAGGTACTGACACACAGCACGTCGCCCGAGCTCGAGGCCGGGCTGGTCGTATCACAGCCGACCCCTCTCACCTGCACATGGACTATTCCAACCACTCCCCTCAGGCAGGAGGCTGCGGTCCATCAGGACTAGAACCTCCCGCCACAAGAACAGTTTCTTCCCCTCTGCTGTTGGACTCTTGAACACTTCTTAACCTGTCCCCCGCCCTTTATAAAGTCACTTTACTGCCCATCATACGTCACTTTACTTCACTGTACTGCTGTCACCTTACATTGTGTGCACCATGTGCACTTGTATATTGTAAATAGTAACTGTAACTCTATTTTAAATTTAAATTTATTCTTTAGAAGTGTTTTTTATTCTTATTTTTATTATCTCTTTTTGACTGTTGCACTGAGCCAAAGCAATTTCCAAGTCTGTGACCTCCCGTTACTTACGTTGGCAATAAAAATGATTCTGATTCTGATTCTGAGGTACTGACACACAGCACAGGTACTGACACACAGCACAGGTACAGACACACAGCACAGGTACTGACACAAGCAGCGGAGGAATGGAAGACAAAGGCCCAGTACTAATATCCCAGTCACAACTGATAATGCCAAAAATTAAATAAATGCAGTGAATGAGGCTGGGCCCAGAATGGAGCGCCTCCTCGGGAGAATCAGGAAGGTGGTGTAATATATGAGAGTAAATATCCTCATAAAGTGCCTTCTTATGTTGCACTTTGTGTTGTTTTTCATTAATTATGTTAAATAGACATAATTGGATGTATGGAATATGCCTTCCATCCATCCATCCATTTCCTTCCCCTTAATTCATTTCTAGGTCAGGGGGTGGCAGTCAGAGCAGGTGCCGAGTCCACATGAGCTGTGTGTATTAAAAAGACAAAACTTTTTTTTTGAAAAATGAACCGAACCGTGGCCTCTGAACCGAGGTACGAACCGAACCGTGATTTGATCAAACCGTTGCACCCCTAGTTGTAGATAGGAGAAAATGGCCATCAGTTACCTGGCCTAATATCTATAATTACCTCACTCAGGCCCCCAGTGTCTATACAAAAGAGAACCTAAATCATATAAATCTATAGATGCAGACAATTATGTGTTATGTAAAGAATGTGAAATACTTACCCTGAACTGTTCTTGTATGGCAGGGTATGGACTTGTAACGGGTGTGGGCACCGTTGTAACTTGTTTGTATTGTTCAATTACAGTCTTGACCTGGTGCACACCCGTTAACCCCTTTATTAGTGTAATCTGCGTTGTGTTCCATGTTCTGCGCTGTCTGAAGAAGGACCACGACACAAGGAGGATCACTGGATGACTTTTACTAGTAGCTCTGCACAAAATAAAAGAAAACACAAATACACATCACGTCTCTCCATGCATTCAGCTCAGCAGTCCTCTCCACAGATGCAAGGCACACACTATGGTTCTCCTGATAAAGGAAAAAAGCAACATTAGCTTAGTTATTATTGCCTTTTTAGTGGTATACAGGTTGATCCCTTTTGTTCTCCAGTTGTTGTAATCAAGGAAAAACACCACACACTTTGTGGTTTTAGAGCTGAATACTTTAGCACTAAAGTATTTATGTGCTTTTGTTGTGACTAGAAGGCTACACAGGCTAAATCATGAACAGCTGTTTCTCCTCAGACTAAAACGAAGGAGCCTCCTTAGCTAACTTAGCAAAACAGCTAAAATGCTAACTGCCGGTTAGCATTTTAGCTGTTTGAGCTTGTTTTAACTTGACTGAACTAACTTGAACTACATCTAGTGACATCATGTAACCTAGTGATTACTTATGGATTGGACTTTTTGATTATTAGATAATGTAGGACACAAACACAAAGTGTGTTCCAGTGTTCTTCCTTCTTTATCCACTCAGCTATGCACATACAACTTGCCTGTGACGTGGCCCAGAAACCCAGTGTTTACCTTTCACTGGCCCCGCCCCCAAGCTGCAGTGGGCTGTTTACCTTTCACTGGCCCCGCCCCCAAGCGACAAAAGTATTTCACGCGCGCGTAGAAGAGACGGCAAAAGTGTTCAACGCAGAACACAGACCACGAGAAGGGAGAGGGCAGGTCACGAGCGCACACACGTGCGTATTGTGGCTCGTGGTACTGAGTCTGCGCGCGTGTGGTGTGAAATGTGCGCGTGGAGAGTAGTTTGCGCGCGTGTGAATTACATAAAGCTGCGCGTGTATGTGTTCTTTGAGCGTGTGGACTTTTGGCGTAAATCTGGCGCCATATTGGCTTTAGTCCTCCGAGACCGCGGCTCCTGCCGTCCTGTCTCCCTCCAACAGCGAGCGCAGGTGTGTGCGTGCCGCACGCACACACTCATACGCAGCGTGCGTATGAGTGTGTGCGTGCGTGTACGCGAGTGTATGCGTCGTCACTAAGGCCTGCACACTTAAACATTCCTTCTTCCTACTTTGTTTTTGGCAGCGGGAAAATGCTGTAGTATATGAACATCAGAAATGTCCGTGAGAAAACAGCTTTGGAGGACCCTACCGCGCTACTTGCTCAAAAAAATAGCTTAGCTACAGAAAAGTTACTTGGATTTGTAAATAGTGACGCTACCCTCAAGCTACTGAAAAACGTAGCGAGTTAAGCTAGTAGCGTCGCTACTGCCCATCACTGTAAACTACAGACTTAAAACATGGATTCAAAAGGCTCTGACTTGTACATTTGCATTTGTAACAACATAAATAACATTTTAATTTGGATATTCAAAGTTTTCTAATTATTAAAACCGAAATCATGCAGAGTGTAAAAACGTGACCCACCTCCTCAGACGCTAGGCAAAGACTGAGCGAGGCGCATGCGCAGACTGATGGAGGCTGCTTCTGTTTTTTTAATGGCGGGCTACGAATCAATATTGCCGTATACTGCCACCTACTGAATCGGAGTGTTATACTCCATGCCTTTGGACCAATGTTACAGTCTATTTATCATTTTTGTTGAAGTTAGAAAATAAAATAATGCCCTCTCTTGATTAAACCCCTCTCCCAAAATACCCTCCATGCTCCACTACTGAGGGAGGCTCTGGGGCGCAGCGAAGGAAACGAGAAGGGTCTGTCTGCGGCTTGCAGTACGGAGGCGTGTCGAGTAGTAGGCGTGTGACGTCACTACCCGACACGCCTACTACATGAATTTTGAATCCACTTAAGTTGAACTTCTGCAAGTATATCCGTTGAAGAGAAGACATGGCAGACCGTACGCAAACTGTAAGTGTCAACCAACAACGTGTTTTATTTATTTTTAGGCCGTCCCTCAAGTTACAGTGTATTAATGAATAAATGCACATCACCCTGACTAGAAATGTTTTTTAAGAAGTGAACTAATACATTGCAGAGAAAGCAATTCGTATGGGTTTCTTCTAAGAGTCCATGTGCCATCGACATGTCAGGTACATAGTATAATATATACAATATAATATTGCCCAAGTCATTTTGCATCGTTAAAATGGTAATAAGGAGAAAAACATAACTCTTTACATGTTTTCCAAGAACAGTGGAGAATTAGTTAGGCAATTATGTGATGTAGCTCACGATGTTTCCTATCACAGTTACAGAAGTCACTGACCATAGTTATTGGATGATGTTCCAAGATATTTGTGTTTCTGAGTGTGCACAAATGGATGTTTATGTCTGCTTTCAGTTGCATCCGACTATTGTCAGTGATGGGAATCATGCTCCAGTGCTGAAGCAGGGGAACACGCTCATGTGTGTAACCTGTTTTAAACATGGCGGAGAAGCACAAATGCTCACACACGTGCAAACCCATGAAAGGGCATCTGTTTGTCATGGAGGTATGTTTTAACTTCGAATCCAGGTGTTGTGCAATATTGTAAATTTGTTCTTTAAAGTGATTGTCTAGAGTTTGTCAGAAAGAGAGACAGAGAGGTACTTGATTTGAAAAAAAACAACCCAAGCTCCCTCCCCCTTCCTTTCTGATTGGTCTACACGCTCTTACCGGAAGTATAGCATGATTTATATAATGTTTGTTTTACATTAGTAGGCCCGAGCGCCACCAGGCTGGCACAGGGACTATTGTAATGAAAGTGTGCATAAAACACTGAACCCCCCTCAAACATAAACATGTCATGGTACATGTTTCCTGGACATACACTGTACTAAAAACTCTGCATTGCAACATTGTTGATGTACAGAGACCATAAAGTCATAAGTGCAAGTCACTGACAATATATTAAACAGGACACCTTTTAGGGCTGCATTTGGTTTTGTGAACTGTTGTTGTTGAATGTAACACATTTTACTCTTATCTAGGTGACAGTTCACACTCTGGCCGAGGCATTTCACCTGCCTCAGCAAGAGGCTATTGAAAAATTCATAAAGGGGCCAAATTATGAACCATGGTAAGATTATTTAAATATTGATGGACATATTTCACTGTGCACTGCACAATCTAATCTGTGATTGTTCTTTATGGACAGTGAGTTTAAAATGATTGCAAATGATCTGGTGAGGCATTTACCAGAGGAGGCAGCAGGGAGGCTGAAAGCTTTCCTAGAGAGATGGAGATTGGCGCTCTCCTCTGAAGCCTTTCTCTCACGATTATAATAAAAGAGAATTTGTTGCAATATTTGTTTTGTGTTGAACTTATTCAGTGTCTACATTTCAGAGCCATTCAGATAACACAAATTCATAAAAAAGCATGTATATAAAATGCCAGAAAACAATTTGTTCTTTTTGTTTAATCTCCCTCTTCTACATACAAATTTGACAAAACACAATAGTAATGAATGTCTGCTTGTCCCAAAAGGCCAAAGTTGGGCACAAAAATGTTATGGCATGTTCTCTTTATGATCAGTAATGTGGAGACCATGGGTGTAGGAGTGTGTGGTGGTGTGGTGGTGGTGTAATAATATCTTTAACTTGTAATGTACTTTTCAATCCTGTGTTGACAAGTTTCTCAAAACGCCACACTAGTCTTTATTCATTTATTCCACACAGTGTGTCACAGCTGGGTTGGAGGATGCCAGGCTACTAATCTGTGCTATTGGCCACCACCAAGCAGTCTCTCACTATGTCCACACATGTGGGTGAAGTGCATTGCTCAAGAACATACCAGACTGCACTTGGGGCAGCCAGGATTTGAGCCACCAACCATAGGCCCCTTTTATAAATGAATGTACACATTAGACATAAGCACTGGCATTATTTGACTCATTAACTTTTGTCCTGAGCTGCTTCAAATCCCTATTGATTGATAGTCTGAAGTAATGGCAGCTTTTGTAGGCAAATTTACTACTTTGATATTTACAAAATTCGTCCATTTTCCCCCAATAAATAATATTGACAATGACATGCGCCATAAAATTCATTATTGCGCATAAATTCATTGGGCATAGATAGTACTCACTACTACTCATACCCGTATTATAATAGATCCATGCTCATACACGCGGAGTGGGCGTGTCGAGTAGTGACGTCACTACCCGACACGCCCACTACTCGACACGCCTCCGTACTGCAGGCCGCAGACAGATACACTTGAAAAAGTCTTAAAACTCTTAAATCGATCTAATCCCAAATTAAGACACATGTTTTGCCTAATTTCAGCATTTTTAGACTATTTTCTCATCACTTTTCACTCTATGTTCTGCTCTGGCCCTCACAGAACGCTCCGGGTCGAATCTCTCCGATCTGTGACATCATAGCTAGACCCCGCCCCCTTGTCAATCAGCACAAACCACAAAAACAACCCAATATTATTAAAAAAATGACTTTATGCCAAGTGAGAATACGGACTTTGTGGACACATTCGTAACAGCGCAGCCGTACAGAGAACCGTCAATAATGATCTTTAGAAAGAAACACAATCCTAGAAGAAGAACACAACCCAAGGATCCTGTCGCACAAACCCAACATGAGAACAAGGCTTTCCTGGTTATCAGCCAGAAAATGGAGTAAAAATATATATCAAAAACTCCCAGACATTTCCCTTTAATCTGCATCGTAGAGAGGGAGGAGGGAGACTTTGTTTTAAAATGACGTATATTCAAAGTGGTAACCATGGAAACGGTGAGATCCTTCCATTCAGTCGTCAAAAAACAGCATATAAAAATATACAGCAATGCAGAGGTTTGAACCGGGCCACGCGGGAAAAGGTGAGATTATGAGCCTTTGAAAGTGAAAGTAAAAGTATAACACGGCTCAGTGCTTTTGTACCTGTGCTAAAAGTTTATTTCATACAATTTATACAAAATAAAAACTGAAATATTAAATGAGATTTGAACTGAACTCATTTGAAACTAAATCATTTGATGTTTTTGATGTTAAGATGTTGTTTAGGTAGAGAGATTACTATTTTCACTGTTTAGACCAGAGAGAGACCAGAGAGAGACCAGAGAGAGAGACCAGAGAGAGACCAGAGAGAGAGACCAGAGAGAGACCAGAGAGAGACCAGAGAGAGACCAGAGAGAGACCAGAGAGAGACCAGAGAGAGACCAGAGAGACAAGAGAGACCAGAGAGAGACCAGAGAGAGACCAGAGAGAGACCGAGAGAGAGACCAGAGAGAGACCAGAGAGAGACCAGAGAGAGAGACCAGAGAGAGAGACAGAGAGAGAGACCAGAGAGAGACCAGAGAGAGACCAGAGAGAGAGACCAAGAGAGAGACCAGAGAGAGACCAGAGAGAGACCAGAGAGAGACCAGGAGAGAGAGAGAAGAGAGAGACCAGAGAGAGACCAGAGAGAGACCAGAGAGAGACCAGAGAGAGACCAGAGAGAGACCAGAGAGAGACCAGAGAGAGACCAGAGAGAGACCAGAGAGAGAGACCAGAGAGAGACCAGAGAGAGACCAGAGAGAGACCAAGAGAGACCAGAGAGACCAGAGAGAGACCAGAGAGAAGACCAGAGAGAGACCAGAGAGAGACCAGAGAGAGACCAGAGAGAGACAGAGAGAGAGACCAGAGAGAGACCAGAGAGAGACCAGAGAGAGACCAGAGAGAGAGAGAGACCAGAGAGAGACCAGAGAGAGACCAGAGAGACCAGAGACCAGAGAGGGACAGAGAGAGACCAGAGACAAGAGAGACAAGAGAGAGACCAGAGAGAGACCAGAGACCAGAGAGACCAGAGAGAGACCAGAGAGAGACCACTGTGTCTGTTTGATTTTCTGATCCGTGTCGACGAATCGACAACTTGGTAAAGTCCTTTGACGAGGCTAAAAACATAGAATAGAATTGTTGTGATGAAAAACAGTTAAACATTATTTATTAGAAACTTAAAGCTGCTGAACCTAAAGTTTTGTTTCGAGACTGAAATGTTGTTTGTCGCGATAGAAAAAGTGTGAGAAATGTGTTTATTGTGGATAAATCCGACGTCATCTCCCCAGGTCATTGTGCTGACGTGATCCAACAGTCCCTGTGAGTCACTATTTGACCCTTTGGGCTCAGACAGAAATAAGAATTAGATTTTTACATGAGCTTTGAAAATAGAGACCACAGCTTTAAGTCTCGCACCAAATGTTAGTGCTATAAGAACCAAGTGGAACTCTGAGGAGCACAGGGACTGGCCTCCTGCTGTGACTCTGAGGAGCACAGGGACTGGCCTCCTGCTGTGACTCTGAGGAGCACAGGGACTGGCCTCCTGCTGTGACTCTGAGGAGCACAGGGACTGGCCTCCTGCTGTGACTCTGAGGAGCACAGGGACTGGCCTCCTGCTAAGACTCTGAGGAGCACAGGGACTGGTCTCCTGCTGGGACTCTGAGGAGCACAGGGACTGGCCTCCTGCTAAGACTCTGAGGAGCACAGGGATTTGAGTAAACTTCTCCCATCAGAATAAAAATAACATATGTACATGTAGATACGGAAACAGGTGGAATACAGAATACATACAGGTGAACAGAACCATGAACAGAACAGAACCATGAACAGAACCATGAACAGAACCATGAACACGCTCAGAGCAGAGGAGTCATTCTGTGTCCGTCCTAAAAACAACAAAGTTCACAATCTGGTCCCAAAGAGTTCCATCCACATGGACGGCGTGCTCCGGTGTCTGGCCCGGTGACTGCCCTTCCTCTGATTGGCTGCGTCCGTCCTGAGAAAAGGTACTTGTAGAAGAAGAAAGCAGTTTGTTGCTGGGGGACGTGAATGCTTCTCGGGCACAAGACGCCATTTTGTGTCCACGGAAATCACAGTTGCATCTTTTTGTTTTCCCCCGTTTGGGATGGTTGAATGGTATAGACCAGGGGAGAGACCAGGTGAGAGAGACCAGGGAGGAGAGGCGAGAGACCAGGTGAGAGACCAGGGGAGAGACCAGGGGAGAGACCAGGTGAGAGACCAGGGGAGAGACCAGGGGCAGAGACCAGGGGCGACGAGACCCATGGGAAACTAGAGACCAGGTGGAGAGACAGGGGAGGGAGAGACCAGGTTGACGAGACCAGGGTGAGAGAGGGGAGAGGACCAGGGGAGGGAGGACCAGGTGAGAGAACCAGGTGGAGAGGGGGACCAGGGGAGAGACCAGGGTTGGGAGGGACCAGGTTTGATGAGACCAGGTGGGAGGGAACAGGTGAGGAGGGGGACCAGGGTGAGCAAAGTGACCAGGGGAGGAGGACCAGGGGATGACAGGACCAGGGGAGGACAGGGACCAGGCAGGTGGAGAGGGACCAGTAGGAGAGGGACCAGGTGAGAGTGTTAAAAACAGCCGGAGACATCAGTGAGAGGGACCCTAGGGTGCTGAGGACCAGCGGTGCCGGTGGAGTCACAGGGGTGAGGTGGACTGAGGGGAGGTGGTGTCCAGGGGGAGAGACAGGGGAGATGGGACCAGGGGAGGGAGACCCAGGTGCGAGCAGGGGAGAGACCAGGGGCGTTCAGGTTCTTTCATGAGGCCCCTCAGGTGGGCATTCCTCCGTCTGCTCCGTCGGGTTCGGAGTCTGCCGGGGGGGATGGCACAGGAGGCGGGGGCGTTACAGCGCGAGGAGGAAGGTAGGAGCGGCGTCAGGGGAGGCCAGGAACTGCAGGTGAGCCCTAGGGGGGGAGAAGAGGGGGGAGAGGGGGAGAGGGGGGCGGAGGCAAGCCAGGTCAGTCAGTTTAGGAGGGAGGGGGAGAGGGCTCCTCGAGGCTGAGGCAAAGACTGCAGCTGATGTCCGGTACCTGTGACAACCTGGACCTGAGGGTAAGTCTGGGGTAGACCTGAGGCTGGATTATGGCGTTAAATAATCAGGTTTAATCGACGCCTCTTTAAGCTGCCCTTTACCTTTTTTCTATATACGACCTTCTCTGCACTGGAGCAAAGAGATTCCTACGTTTGTGACTCCTGTGGACCTCTGTGACCTCCTGTTGACTTCCTGTTGCCTCCTGTGACTTTCCTGTGACCTCTGTGACCTCCTGTGACCTCATGTGACCTCCTGTAACCTCACGATGGCTATAAAAAACATCTGGTTCTGGACGAATGTATAGAGTTGTTCCTTTACTTAATCATTAAAGGAAAATCACCCTCAATATCCACTTTTTTTTTATGCTGATAAAACGGTATAAATGAGTGTCCAATAGCTGTTGATATACATATCCGTCATAATCTTGTCACTTTGGTGCAAATTAGTTGAAGTTAGAAAACCTTTTTTTTGCCCTAAAACGTCTGTGAGGCGCCATCTGCTGGCGACCTGTATTACCTTACATTTTGAATTTTGAATCTGGCGCAACACTGGCACAGAAATGACCTGAGTCTGCAGTTGGACCTGACCGTCAGCCAGCCCCCCGCCCTGAACAAAATGTAAACGGCCCAGTCTCGTTCACGCCCCCTTTAGTCCTCCAGCTAGGGCCCATTTAGTGGAAGATCTTTGAAACAGGAAATCGTGAGTAACGTAAGCTCCGAGGAGCGGGGGTGGAGAACCACTTTAACCTCATTCTTCAGTTATTTAACTGGTAATACAACATCTGACATTCCATTGCACTTTACAGCTTCCGAAACTAAAGACCTGATGAAGCTTTGGAGAAAGACCAGGCAGTTTACGACCTACTTTTATACATGGGTCCAGAATTGATGGATCACATGGTCGACAGTGAGCCCCGACCTTAGCCCGCCTTAGCCCCGACTTAGCCCCGACTTAGCCCGACTTAGCCCCGACTTTAGCCGACTTAGCCCCAGACTTAGCCCCGCCTTAGCCCCCGGACTTGTCCGACTTGGTCCCGACTTGGTCCCGACTTCGGGTCCCGACTTGGTCCCGACTTGGCCCCGATCTTGCCCGACTTGGCCCCGACTTGGCCCCGACTTGGCCCCGACTTGGGCCCACGACTTGGTCCCGACTCTTGGTCCCGACTTGGTCCGATTCGGTCCCGACCTTATGTGTTTTATATACCTCATTCTAGCTCATACATTAGCTCGTTTGCTAGCACTGCACTTGTCACCTAGAAATAAAACGCTCTTCCCATTGAAAGTCCACGTCTTTGCAGCAGGAACAGCCCCTTACTGTATGAAGGAAATGAGATTGGGTCAAAGAAACTGAAGCCAAATGAAACAAGCAGCGGAAAACATCCAGAAAATGCATTCCAAATAAACGAAACAAAAAAAGCAACAAAATCATTCCAGGTGTTTTTGAAAAGTTAATGATAAAACGACCAAACATGCACCGACAGAAGCGACAGAGACAGAGGGAAACAGAGGAAAACAGAGAGACAGAGTTCAAGGCGTGCGTCGTTTCTTCATCCCCGGACAGGTTCTGTGAGCGTGAAGGGTCAGAGGTAGAACGTCGATGTTCGGAAGACGTGTCCGGACTCACACTCGGTCCACGTCTCCAACATCCGGCTGGTTCGGGACGTCGGGGCGTTGGGCACCGATCACGATCAAATCGGGGTCCGCGTCAGGCCCAGAGGTCCCCGTAGGAGGCCGTCTTCACCACGTGGGGGTGGCTGGGAGCGCTGGGGGGGCAGGGGGAAGGCCGTCAGGAGAAGTGTAACAAAAGTGCACTTTCATTTAAAGTCATTTTAAGTTCACGTTTTTAAGTGTGTGTCCTGGGTTCTACAGCTCAGTCAGGGTCTACCGCCTCAGTCCGGGGCTCTACAGCCCAGTCCTGGGTTTATACAGCCCCAGTCATGGTGGTCCTCACCTATACAGCTCCTCAGTCCTTGGGTCTACAAGGCCTCAGTCCTGGGTTCCTATACAGTATCAGTCCTGGCGTCTACAGCCCCAGTCTGGGTCTACAGCCCCAGTCTGGGGTCTACAGCCTCAGGCCCTGGGTCTACAGTCTCAGTCCTGGCGTCTACAGTCTCAGTCCTGGGTCTACAGTCTCTAGTCCTGGGTCTACAGTTCTCCGTCATGGGTCTATACTAGGCTCAGTCCGGGTCTACAGCCTCTGTCCTGGGGTTCTACAACCTCGTCTGGGTATACAGGCTGTCCTGGGTCTACTGTCCTCAGTCCTGGGTCTACAGCCTGTCCTGGCGTCTACGTCTTCAGTCCTGGATCTTTTGTGGGGAATAAGGACCATAACTTTACAGTGACTATTTCCCCTCGTCTCCTTCTTCATGAGACCCCAGTGATTCTAAGTCTCGGTCTCTGTTCTGGTTCGTACCCGCGCTGTGTGAGCAGGGGGCTGCAGCGGCAGGGCGGGGCTCTCTCGTATAGGAGGGGTCGGGCTCCCGGGGGGGATGGCGTGGGACTGCGAGGCTCTTCAGCGGGTCGTGCGGGTTGTGCGTGGCACGGGGCGCAGAGGGGCCAGGCCTGCGCTTAGCTGCCCTCTCCTCCGTGGTGCTGCCGTACTGGTAGCTCCCTCCGGGTCCACCGTGGATCTCCGAGGGGACAGGAGAGCTGCGAGCAGAGAGCTGCGGAGGAGAGCTGGCCGAGGCGTGCTGCGAGGTGCAGCTGCGAGGTGAGCTGCGGAGGAGGGGAGTAGCTGCGAGGAAGGACCGGGCGAGGGGCGTCGAGCACGGCGTGTTCCTCACCGACTCCTGAGGGAGACAAGAGCGGTCACGTAATAGACTGCCACAAAAACTTACTATGGAACCAAGTGTGCAAGAAGGAGGGGGGAGGGAGACGAGAACCATGTGGCATCATAGATTCCACCCACACTACGGAAGGAAGGGAGACGAGGAACCATGTGGGCACTATAGATGCACCACACTAAGGAAGGTACAGAGAGACTGAGAAACCATGTGGCACTATACGCTGCACCACACTAAGGAAGGAAGGGACGTTTCGAGAACCATTGTGGACACTATAGATGTCTACGACGCTAAGGAAGGAAGGGAGACGAGACACCTTGTGGCACTATAGATGCTACGACACTAAGGAAGGAATGGAGACGAGAACCATGTGGCACTATAGATGCCACCACAACTAAGGACGGAAGGGGAAGGGAGACGAGAACCATGTGGCCACTATAGATGCCTACGGACACTAAGGAAGGAAGCGGAGACGAGAACCATGTGCGCACTATAGATGCCACCACCACTTAAGGAAGGAAGGGAGACGAGAACCATGTGGCACTATAGATGCCACCCCACACTAAGGAAAAGGAAGCGAGACGAGAACCATGTGGCACTATAGATGCTACGACACTAAGGAAGGAAGAGAGACGAGAAACCATGTGGCACTATAGATGCTACGACATAATGGAGGAAGAGAAGACGAGGAACCATGTCGGCACTATAGATCGCCACCACCACCTAAGGAAGGAAGGGGAGACGAGAACCATGTTCGCGCACTATACAGCTGGACAGGTGGGGACTCTCCCGCCCTCAGCAATTGTAGTTATCTGCAGAGTTCATCCAGATCTTCCCAGGTGGCTTGTGATCATGGGCCTCTTTGGCTGCATCTCTGATCAGACTTCTCCTGTGTTTTGAGTTCATCCAGATGATCATGGGCCTCTTGGCTGCATCTTCTGATCGTCTTCTCCTTGTTTGGAGGGACGGCCGGGTCTTGGTAGATTTGCAGTGGTCTGATACTCCTTCCATTTCAATATAATTGCTTGCACAGTGCTCCTTGAGATGTTTAAAACTTGGGAAATCTTTTTGTATCCAAATCCGGCTTTAAACAGTGAGTGAGATGGAAGGCCTCACCTATAGACTCGCCCCGGGACAGGTGAGCGATGGGGGAGGCACAGGGGTGGTAGCGCCCTCCACTGGCCTGGGGGTGGTACAGGTAGGTGCGCGTGGGCGAGGCCAGGCTGTGGTAGTGCTGAGGCTGGAGCGAGTCCAGGGAGTGGATGGGGTGAGCTGAGATGACCGCTGCGTACGACACATGAAGCAATGACACACAATGACACACAATGAGACACAATGACACACAATGATACACAATGACACACAATGACACACACAATGACACACAATGAGACGCAATGAGACACAATGAGAGAGAGAGGAGAGGGAGGAGAGAGGGGAGAGAGAGGAGAGAGAGAAGAGAGAGGGGAGAGAGAGAGAGGAGAGGGAGGAGAGAGAGAAGAGAGAGGGGAGAGAGAGAGGAGAGGGAGGAGAGAGAGAGAAGAGAGAGGGGAGAGAGAGTTAGAGAGAGGAGAGAGAGAGGAAGAGAGGAGATGCACAAGCATGGGATGTCCACAGATGACACTTTCCTCTCGTATAAGACCCTCGTCCACTCCTCACCCTCTGCACAGGAGCTGCCCTGGTCTCCCCCTCCCTCCCCCTCTCTCTCCCCCCCTCCTCCCCCTCCCTCCCACACACTTACGCTGAGGCGGCTGGGCATCAAACGGCATCATCATTTTAGGCCTCATCCCGCGGCGGCCTCCCAGAGTCGACATGCCGTCCTCAGACTCGAGCCCTAAAACGCAGGCTCAGCTTTAATTCAAATTCAGCCGATTTTAAATGTTTTGGAAAAGGACTTTTTATTCAATAGTTTAAGGAGAGTGAGTGAAGCAGACGATGAGAGGCATGAAGAAGCAACACTCAAACAAACGACGTTTGGACGTTCATTTAAGACACACATTAGCCTCCTGCAGCTCGGGAGACACCAGTAGCATTAGCTCTCCCTGTAGCTCCCAAAGGATTTAGAATTGACATTATACAGCTATAGCAATGCCCTGTTTTGTGTGTGTGTGCGTGTGTGCGTGAGTGCGTGCATGTGTGTGTGTGTGCGTGAGTGTGTGCATGTGTGTGTGTATGCGTGCATGTGCGTGTATGTGTGTGTGCGTGCATGTGCGTGTATGTGTGTGTGTGTGTATGTGTGTGTGTGTGTGTGTGTGTGTGTGTACGTGTGTGTGTATGTGTGTGTGTGTGTGTGTGGAGAGACTGCAGAAAAAACCCGCACATTGAAATCAGACATGGCTCAAATCTGAATTAAGACACATGTGGAAGAAGGAGCAGGGCCCTTACCCCACCGCTGTCAGACTGTACAATGAGTCACTAATGCACTAGGACTGAAAGAAAATAAAACCTGCACTGCTATTGCCACTCTACTTTTATTGCCACATTTTTATCGTACATATTTATATCCTGCACAGACTATATTTCTAACCTTAAACACGTTTCACACTTCTGCCTGATTCTGTCTGTGCCAAATGTGACCTGTACATTTCTCAATCAGAGATCAATAATCTCGATCTTATCTTATGGAAGTAATGGAATACAGACTAAAACTGTTTGTCCAATATCAAACATTTAGTTTTAAGGCCTGTGTGTGGATTTCTCTCTCATTCATCATTTTGTTCTGATACAGCAGTTCTCTGGAGGAGGAGGTTGGAGACCCCTGATGCAGACTGTAAACAGCAGACACACGGACACAGTGTTATGCCGCCCTCTCCTGGCTGCAGAGGGAATTACCACCACAATAACAAACTAAAGCAGCTTGTGCAAAGACTGAGATTAGATTTAATTCATTCCCAGTGTTTTGTAACTGATGATGCAACACTGACATTTCCTCACAGTGGGACGCACAAAGGATCTCTTCATCTTCATGTAAATTTGACTCCAAAAACATGAAAGTGTATTTTCTCAGCAACATTTTGGACATTTCCCGAGTCTCTGGAGCTGCAATGGTTTCTGTCCTCTCTACTCTCGCATCGGGGGCAGTCTGAGCCTGAGCCTGAGCCTGAGCCTGAGCCTGAGCCTGAGCCTGAGCCTGAGCCTTAGTCTTAGTCTTAGTCTTAGTCTTAGTCTTAGTCTGAGTCTTAGTCTGAGTCTGAGTCTGAGTCTAAATCTGAGCTTGAGCTTGAGCCTGAGCCTGAGCCCGAACCTGAGCCTGAGCCTGAGTCTGAGCCTGAACCTGAGCCTGAGCCTGAGCCTGAGTCTGAGCCTGAGCCTGAGTCTGAGCCTGAGTCTAAATCTGAGCTTGAGCCTGAGCCTGAGCCTGAGTCTGAGCCTGAGTCTGAGTCTGAGCCTGAGTCTGAGTCTGAGCCTGAGTCTGAGTCTGAGCCTGAGCCTGAGCCTGAGCTTGAGCCTGAGCTTGAGCCTGAGCCTGAGCCTGAGCCTGAGCCTGAGCCTGAGCCTGAGTCTGAGTCTGAGTCTGAGTCTGAGTCTGAGTCTGAGTCTGAGTCTGAGTCTGAGTCTGAGCCTGAGCCTGAGCCTGAGCCTAGAGCTGCAACTAAAGCCTGGTTCACACGAGACGATTTTAAAATTGTCGGCCGATTTTTCTCTGTGTGAGACCCCACACAGGGAGATAAAAAATCACGGGTCTAACCACTTTGGTCGTACAGTGTGTGGTGCAGCCACACGGCAAAGACCACGCAAACCACACACGAACCGACCCCCCGAGTATTCACAGATCAGACGGAAATCTCAGGTCTCGCGAGATCAAGCGTGACTTCAGAGTAAACACACATGGCGGACGAAGAGGATGCATTGGCGATAGTTTGTTTTTATCGGAGAAAAGGCGATGGTCAAAGAAGTGTAGACGACACGAGCATGGACTATACTTGCTACATCGTGATATGGAGGCGTTTCCTCACCGCCTCGTCTCGTCTTCTGATTGGCTACACGCCGCAGTCATGGCAACGCGCACGTCTGTCCTCGGGACACCACACACGAAGAGAAATCGGGCCAAAACAATCCAACATGTTGGATATCCCCGATTTGAGATCGGAGCAGTCCCGATGTCCTTCCGAGCGACGAGTGCAGTCTTAACACACCACACACGGCAGGATAATCTAAGATTTTGTTACGGAAATCGGAGCGTTTCTTAAGATTGTTGTAAGGGGTAAATCGGGTCTAAATCGGCCTAAATATCCTGCCGTGTGAACCAGGCTTAACGATTATTTTGTAATCGATTAATCTATCGATTATTTTTACGATTAATCGAGTAATCGCTTGGCTGTGAATTGTGTAGAAAAACTTATATTTTTTCATCACAAAAAGCTAAAGTGGCAACACTCGAGGACGTATTGATGGCGTAAACTTAAAGTAAATGTTTGTAACGGGCTCTTTGTGCTAATTCTGCTCTGATTGGATGAGACAGACAGATATTCATGAAATTATAAAAACAGTCGGTTTTAATCAAAAATACTACATTTTCATGTCATTTTTGCTCTGTTTGAGTCCGTGTGAACCAGAAAACGATTAATCGATTACTAAAATAGTTGTTGACTATTTCAATAATCTATTAGTTGTCGATTAATCGATTAGTTGTTTCAGCCCTAAGATAAACCTTTTATGGCCACGTGTTTGTGTAGATCTAAAACATTACCGCATATTGTTTGGATAGTTTCAGGTTGACGGGCAGGTTTATCCAGAGGGCACTAGAGAATGGTGGTTATGTAATAGTCATTGCTTCTGTGCTCCACTGAACCCAGGAACAAATGGAGTTGCACCAAATCATGAAGTCATTTTTTTCAGTCAACACTTTCTGACAACATTGACAAGTTTGTTAAGCCCCGTGATTCTAACTAGGGCTACATTCTGGAGAAGTGTGTGTTGGCATGCGCGCTTCCAACCAAATAAATTATACAAACCCTGGTAAGTAATTGTATATAAGCCGATACCAGTGAAGAGACAAAACGTAACCCTTCAAAGCCCTGCAAACTTAAATCATGGGAGTTGTTTAGTTAATTTCATCCTGAAGTAACTCAAGAACTGCTTTTTAAAATTAAGATGAAATGGATCATATGTCCCATAGTAGGGACGAGGAGCACACAACACTGACTGTCGAGGACAAGACAACTCTACTCTTTTTTTTAAAGTTGAAATTTCTGGATCAATATTAGGAAAGTTGAATGAATTGAAAGACTCAATCAGGATCTCTGCTTTACAGATCCCAAATCCCACAAATATTCTTACATCTGTATCACGCATTTCTAATAATAAAATGTGTATGTGGACAAACCTGCCTCAATTCCTTCAAATTAAACTTTAGTAAGTGTTTTATATAGAACCTTTTACAGTCACCAAGCGTTTTTTAATTGGTGTGGGCATTTGGGCTGAGCTGATTGAAAAGTGAAAAGAGGACCACCCTCACTGAACCAGTCTAAAGCTGATGTAAAGATGTGAGGTCAAACGAGTAATTATATTAAAATCCATGAACTCGTTACTTGCTCTAATATCTTGTCCAGCTTTAACTTTGTTTCTGTAATACTGCTTGTCCTGTAGCCAATGGGGCCCTAATATATTGCTCCACTTCCTCCCATTGCATCATGGGCTCTCCCCTTTCCCTGTCAGCGCTTCAGGACAAAACACTGTCTGACCCTAAGCCCCGCAGAATCCACTCTTCATTTATCTCATCCTGGCACTTTTAATTCAGACGAGCAAAGCCACATTGTTGTCCCAGCGTGATCTGGTTTATGAAGCTTCAGTTTATGAGTAAGACCATGCTTCCTTTTAGTCATAAGGGTGTCCTGTATCCAGAGGCTTTTCATTACTGAATAAGCAGTAAGTACCACAATGAAGTAATGGTTTTATATGGTTCAACTTGCCACTAGCAGCATTATCGTCTGTACTTTCTCTGAATTTGGATATTCTCACCGCAGAACAACTTTAAAGCTCTAATTATAGTTTATAAAACACATCTTTGCTTTGTTCTAGTCATCCGGGGAGTCTGGGAGTCTATCTACTGAAGAAACGTTTCAACCAGTGCAGATTTGTCACTATACTTTAAAGGCACCCTGTGTAATTTTTAGTTGCTCCATATGAATAAAAGGTTAATTACAAATGTGACTTTTTTAAAGAAATATTTACCTCCAATGATTTTATAATCTGTTTCATAGGCGGTGGCCCATGGCATAGGCCATGAGAGGAATCCTCCATGTCAATGCACCATCTTGAAATACAGGGGTGGATAAGGGACAAAAAGGATGAGAGAATTGAGTTTTTGTTTCACAGGTGCCACTGATATCGTTGCCTTCGAAAGTTTGAAGGAACCATTACTTACTAAATAAATAAATGAACATTACTTACTTACCATGAAGGACCAGTTATGTAAAAGAGTAACCTGAACAATTATTGAAAATGTGAAAAAGTCCGTCACAGCAGCAAAGTGTCAACATCGCAAACACCCACTGAAAGACGGCGCTAACACAACAGGAGGCACGTAGTGTGTGTGTGTGTCTGTTGTGTATAAACTACACAATACGTAACTTCACACAGTGAGAACAAGGCAGAATCTACAACAGTCTCAGGATGTTCTGACTCTGAGTCCAACTATGTCACAAGTGTCAACAAAACTTATTCAGGGACAAGCCTCAAATAAAACACACAATCGCCACAAAACAATCTGCAGAATACTTCATCAGCAGCGTGAGTGACGGTGTTTTCTTACCGTGACGGTATGACGCGCCTGGTGAAGGCTAATCTGAGCTTTTAGCCGCAGTTCTTCCGCGGCTGTGTCAAAGCCAATGTCCTGCTCAACGGTAGATGGCAGTAAAAATGTGTGTACTTTTTAAAGTGTGTTCAATTTGCAAATCATCTGTTTGAATAAACAAGTTTGTACCTTACGCCAAAGATGCTGGTCCGGAGCCAGAACATATAGTGTGTATGCATTTACACAATTAACTTTGGAACAAATGCTAAAACTGACTGGAAAGGCTTTACATGTGTATGGCATGGTTCTAGTTTCGTTCTGAGAACAGAGAGCAGAATCTTCTATTAAATTTTCAATTTGAAAAAAACATTGAACGAAAAATACACGGACCTAGCATGACTGTCTGTGATTATATTCATTTAATTTCCCTGCCCTATCAATACTTTTATGTTCTGTTACTTGCCAATGTACTTTCTCTACTTTGAGCTGATAAAGTAGGAAATGTTCGCAGCCATGTAATATTGCTGTAAGAGCCTCTGTGCGTGTCTAGTATAAAGTCGTGGCGCTGGAGAAAAGTGCTTATTTTGCATCAAACATAAAACTAAGATTGTTGCGTCAGTTTGTGCTGTTTTAAAATGTGGAACCAAAGCTGTTGTGGTTGAAGATTGGAACCCGGCATTTCAGTAATGTTTGAAATGTAAAGCATGAATTCCTCTGCTCCGGACTCGTCTCTGAATCTAAATCTTTGCTTTTTGTTTCCTAGGAGACGTATGATTCGATTCCAGGAGGAAACAAGATCACATTCTTGCTACAGGCCATTCGAGATGTGTCCGTCGCAGAAGAGGTAACCACTTTAACATGATTCTATTGTTTAAAGAAATCTCTGGATCGCCAACTTTATCTCTGGTATACAAACTTTTCATTTGGCTCAAAGTTGGCAATCTGCCTCAAAAGCAGATAAAGTGGGCAAACTAGATATTCTTTGAAGCAAAGGACAAGGTATACAAATAAAACTGACTATTTTCGAGTCGTATTGCAAACTTGATCTGTGCTCTATTAAAAAGATATATTTTTAAGTGAGAAATATTTGCAGATTGTAAACTTAAGATAAGACTTTATTGATCTCTCAATGGAGAAATTTAAATTTGCTGAATTCAGCTGATTCCTTCTTCAAAAAATATTGTCTGTGCCCTTAAAGGATTCATTTATATTTTGTTCTGAGGCAAACATGCTCTGTTATTAGGGCTGTCAAACGATTAATTTTTTTAATCGAGTTAATTACAGCTTAAAAATTAATTAATCGTAATTAATCGCATTTCAAACTATTGGCAAAATTATGCCATATTTTTCTGTAAATTGTTGTTTGAATGGAAAGATAAATGACAGCTTAGTGAACATATGAACTGTATTTGTTTGTTATAACAATAAATTCATATAAAAGGGAATTAACATTATTAACATTCTGTCTTTCTGTTTAGACTCAGACCAAAACCATTGTTTGTTACAGATGAGGGACATTTCAAAATAGTCTGAAGCAGAATGTCATTAAATCTGTTTGATTTGCTCACACCATTACTTTTTTTGGCACAACTAACATGAACTGGTAGTCGAAAGGAAAATTAGGTACCTCAGCTTTAATTTAGCGAGTGCACTTCGGGAGAAGACACGGAGGAGACTGAGGCTCCGCAGTCCAGCTTTAGCGCTGTACATATTGTGTGCATCGGTTACACAAAGACACGTACGCACACTAGAGAATAGTTCTGTAATAGTTCTGTGCGTGGTCTTGGATATGATCCCATTACGCAGCGCCGTTCGCCGTGATCACAGCCGCTGGAAGTGGGACCTGTCCAGAGCGCTGTGGCGCCTGCAGCTCATCATGCAGAGTTCATACAGGAAACAAGTGCCCCGCGGTCACGCGTGTGTTCTTTCAAAACTATAATTCCCAGAGACCTGCTCTGTCCCCATCTTACACACGCATGTGTCCGCGGCATTCTGAGTGTTATTTATTTATTTATTTATTTATTTATTACTGGGACAGTGCATATTAATGAACATTTCTGTAAATATGCCAGAATTAGCCAAACGGCTATTTTTCATCCGTAGTCCCATGTCTCCTGAAAAGATAAAAACATGTTTGCTACACAGTTAAAATAGTGTGAGACATTTACAATATTTACAAGGACAAGACATTAAAACCTTCAGTCACACGTCGTTCAACAAACAATACACGATCACATGGAGACAGACACAGAACACATACAGGCGCACACAGAGCATGCGGCCAGCAGGGGGCAGCGAGAGCAGGCGGAGTCAGTGCTGACAGGTGTGATTATCAATGAGCCAGTGTTTTAACTGTGTTTTGTACGTGAGGTAAGAGGGTGCATTTCTGATAGTTGTGGGTAGGAGGTTCCAATCTGAGGTGGCACGGACGGAGAATGAAGATTGACCAAATGTGCTTTTCCTGAGGGGGGTGATACAGTCCCCTCTCGCTGCCCCCCTAGTCCTGGTGTGGGTGCTGTTTCTGGTATTGATGAACTGACTGAGAGGTGGGGATGAAAGACCATGAAGGATTTTATAGACCAGACAGAGATTGGAGAACTTCACCATGTTATTGAGAGTGAGAAGTTTGTGTTTGTGTAGTATGGGACAGTGGTGAGAGTGATGGGGTTTCATGTCCAGGGTTTTTACCGTCCGTTTGTAGAGTGAGTGCAGGGGTTTCAGGGCTGTGGTGTTTGCTAGGGACCAGGTAGGGAGACAGTATGTGATGTGGGACAGAATCATGGAGTGCATAAACATTTTGGCTGCTGGTGTAGACATTTGGTGGCGGATGTGTTTGAAGTTGCAGAGGTTGTATTTAATTTTATTGCATGTTTTTTTAATGTGAGCTTTGAATGAAAGGTGTGAGTCAATTATTATTCCAAGGTATTTGTATTCTGTGACGATCTGTAGCCTGTTGCCTGAAACTAAAACATCTGGATCTGTGCATGGGAGAGACTTGTAAGTTTTGGAGAAGAACATTGCAACTGTTTTGGATGTATTAAGTTTGAGACAGGAGTGATTGAGCCAGGATGAAATGTGAGCCATGGAGTTAGTGAGTTTTTCAGCAACCTGTGAAGTGTTATTGCCATGTGTGAATATAACTGTGTCGTCGGCGTACATGAGTATGGGAGTGTTGCAGACAGATGGGAGGTCGTTAATGTAGAGGGAGAAAAGTAGAGGAGCTAGTGTGGACCCTTGAGGAAGACCGGTGGAGAGACCGAGAGGTGAAGACTGGTGAGACTGGATACGGACCTGCTGCGAGCGATGTGAGAGATATGATTCAATCCATTTTATGAGAGAGGGAGAGAAGTTGAATGAGTGTAATTTGGCCAGAAGGATTTTGTGGTTAACTGTATCGAATGCTTTTTTGAGGTCTAAGAAAACAGCACCCACCACCCCTCCCCTGTCCAGCAGTGCTCTGATGTTCTCTGTGAAGTAGCAGGTTGCTGTTTCGGTGGAATGGTGGGTTCTGAAGCCAAACTGCATTGGGTGGAGACTGTAGGGTGTGGTGTGAAGGTGAAGGGATATTTGTTCTGCAACTAATTTTTCTGCTATTTTAGAGACTGAAGGTAGGATGCTGATGGGTCTGTAATTGTCCATGGATCGAGGGTCACCGCTTTTGTAAATAGGAATGATGATAGAAGATTTCCAGATACTTGGGAACAGATTCTCAGAGAAAGACATATTAATGAGTTTGGTGATGGGGGTTGTGAGAGAAGTGGAGATGTCCTTTAATATGACTGCGTTCATGCCCAATATGTCTTTGCATCTGGATGGTCTAAGTGATTTGATGGTCCGTGTAACATCTGTCTCTGAGATGGAAGTTAGGCTGAGAACAGGTGGGTCTTTATTGGCTGTAGGTGAGTGAGATGATTGCACAAAACCTTGCGCTATATTAGCAACCGAGTCAACAAAATAAAGGTTGAATGCTTCAGCCACAGCGGAGGGCTCGCTTGAGAGACTGCCATTAATTTTGATTTCCAATTTTTTGTTCTCTTTGGCTCGATGTCCTGTAATTTTCTTCAGTTGATCCCATATAGCTTTGGAGTTACCATTTGCCCCTTCTATTACGGTAAGGAAAAAATCAGCTTTAGCTTTCCTGATTGACCTAACTACCTTATTTCGGAACATAGCAAATAGACCACGATCATGGGTGGATTTAGATTTCACAGCTTTTTTTAAAGCCTTGTCTCGCTCTTTCATGAGTTGTATTATGTCCGTGTTGATCCAAGGAACTGCATTTTTATGCGGTTTGAGCTTAATTTTCTTTGTGTAGTCCACAATTGTTTTCTGGAGTGTTTCATGGAAGGAGTCTGTGGCAGTATTAACATCATTATCATTCAATGATAGATCCCAATTTATTTGTTGAGCTGCAGAAAGAAAGCTTTCATAATTTTTTTTGGGGATATCAGTGATGACATTGGACGAGGGAAAAGATCGGAAGCGGCTGCATGTCAGTTTCCTGGCTATGAGGGTGAGATTGTGATCAGACAGCCCTGTTAACATATTAAATGATTTGGTGATTCTTTCTGGCCTGTTAGAGAATATGAGGTCAATTTGAGTATTTGTAGAGTTTGTTATTCTTGTTGGGCCACAAACTATTTGGGTTAGATCAAATTTATCTGTGATTTGTTTCAACTTTTTCCTTGTAGTTTTATCAGCCCAATTAACATTGAAATCCCCCATTATTAACAATTCTTTGTCAAATTTGCATTCTTTAAGCATTTCTTCGAATTTATCATAGAAGGAGTTGTCTGCTGAAGGAGGGCGATATAGAACAACAATCGTAAGTGACATTTGCAGTGAAAGTGAAACTTTTAAACCGAGACATTCAAGTTGTTCGTGATTTGGCAGCTGAATTTGGTGACATTTTAATGAACTTTTGACATAGGCCATCACACCTCCACCTTTTTTGGGGCCCTCTCTGTCCTTTCTATATAAATCATATCCTGGGTTATTGAGAGCAGCAGCTGGAGTGTTTTGATTGAGCCATGATTCTGAAAAGCATATATAGTCAAGGTTTGAGTCTTGAAGAAGGTGTTGAATTTGCTCACTTTTAGATAGATAGCTCCTAATGTTCAAATGACCCCCTAAAAGACCCTTAGGTTTAGCCTTTGGGTCCCAAATAATCCTTGAGTGATTGACAGTTTGAAAGGTCGCCCACTTCCGGTGTTTCGCAATTCCTGGATTCAGCCGTTTCCTGATTGTATTGCCCGTTGTCATGGGGACAGGAGCACGCAGCCTTGTTGTAGAAGTATCCTGACTCGGTGGCGGAATGTTGTTGCGTTGCTCAGAGGCAGTGGAGAAGCCAAAGGTGGGCTGCGCTCCCGTGACGGTACCGCCACGGGAGCGCAGCCCACCTTTGGCTTCTCCACTGCCTTATCATGGGACGCATGGGCATGCGTCAAATGCGTTAATTTTTTTAACGCGATTTAATGAAAAATATTAATTAATGTGCGTTAACGCGATAATTTTGACAGCCCTAGCTGTTAAATAATTAATTTTAAAAATGATTCCCCTTTGACCCAGAGAGAAAAATATGTACTGATTGCTAACTTGATCTGTTTTAATTAGAAATTGTTTCATTTTTTAAAATTCACAGGTGTCATAGACCCTCCTGCAGCCAAGGTTTATTTCAATTGTTTTTGAGTCACATTAGTTTCTGTCTAACGTCCTGTAAATGTAATCAATCAAAGAAGTTTGAACATATTTAGATTATGACAAAGTTTATAAATTTTAGTCATAATCTCCAGATATGTTTCTAGAGTCTTCACTCGTCACATTCTCCACAGAACGCTTTCCGCTCCTCTGCAGCTGTTTACGATTCTGGACCCGATATTTTTAGATTTCTTGAAATGGGAGCAGGGACCCAGAGCTTGAATAATAGATTTATAGGGAGCCAGGTGAAGATGCTGCCTTCAATTTGGAGCAATAAAAACAAAAACTTTAGCGCAGATGTAGTTGTTTCATCCCCACTCTGGGCAGCTGTGACTACAGAAAGTTTTATCGCTGTAAGATTCAGTTTTAAAAGGTATATATTTTAGCCCTAAATAACAGCAGTAGGTCTCAAGTTTATCAGAATCAAACAGTTCAAACTCAACTTTGTTTAGAAAGACAGCATTTCTTGAGTTCGAAAATGTCTCTGCTCATCCCCGGGACTGAGGCTGTAGCTCCGGGACTGGAATACAGAGCCCCGTGTATATGTTCATGGGGATCCTTCACTTAATACAGCTCAGACGCCCTGTGCAGAAAAGCGCCCCAAACCTCATGTTTCCACCCCTGCTATTCTTTGGATGCTGCTCTGTATTCTTCCCACTTCAAAGTTTTCACCCAAAAGTTCCATTTCAGTCTCATCTGCCCCAGTTCTGTTCTGGATCATCACCATGGTCATAAAACAACTTAAGGCCTGGACACGCACTGGCTTCAGCAGCGAGATTGATCTTTCAGTGGCCCCTTGCACTTTGAACATTCCATGCGTCATACCAGGAATTGAAAAGAGAAAATGTAAAATAAAATGTAATAATTGCTGCAGGGTGATGGTCTGTGACATATGGTAGTTAAGACTCAAAAGCACTAGTTTGGAAACTCTGGTCATGTAGGATTTGATGCAATGCTTGACCTCCCGCGTGTTCGCAGGCTCGGCAGATGGCTGCGGTGCTGTTGCGGAGGCTGCTGTCGTCGGCCTTTGAGGAGGTGTTCCCGGGGCTCACGCTGGAGATGCAGATGGCCGTGAAGACAGAGCTGCTCACGGCAATCTCTCACGAAACCTCCCCAAACATCCGCAAGAAAGTGTGTGACATCGCCGCCGAGCTCTCCAGAAACCTCATCGGTGAATAATGCTTTAACTGTAGTTCTGCTTTGACTGATGAAAGGTGAAATGTTGACGCTTGAATCTGTTGTGGAGACTGCCATAGCAAGAATTTTTCTCATAAAACGACTCTACATTGAACAATTCAGAATCGTTTTACTGACCAAAAGACTGTTAAAGTCTCTGGAGGCTGCTGCTCTACGGTTTGGTATCGCATGTTCCTGGTGCTAGCAGTGATTTTGTTTTTCTTGCAGACGACGATGGGAACAACCAATGGCCCGAGGTTCTAAAGTTTCTCTTCGATTCGGTCAATTCTGACAACGCAAGTTTGAAAGAAGCCGCGCTGCACATATTCTGGTAAAAATCCTAGTCAAAAATCACCCACTGTTGTTGGAATATACCTCCCAATTTTGTTTTTCTTTAGGAATTTCCCTGGCATATTTGGTAACCAGCAGCAGCACTATCTAGATGTTATCAAGAGAATGCTGGTTCAGTGTATGCAGGACCAAGCCAACCCACAGGTAACCATGCATGGATCATGTTGATGCTAACTACTAATTAATGAGCACTGGGTAATGCATCATATAATATAATGCAAAATATGACCTGGTTTTAAATGTGTTTTGTAGATTAAGATGCTGGCGTCTCGAGCTGCTGCGTCCTTTGTTTTGGCGAATGAAGGAAACTCTGCGCTCCTCAAACAGTTCTCAGATCTGCTGCCTGGAGTTCTACAAGTGAGAACTTTACACATGGCTCAGAAGTGATTTGGAGGAATAATCTCTGGTCTTGTCTTTTCTCTTCTGTTTTTCTATTTCTCTGGTGTTTCTCTCTGATAGTGAAGTTGCCCATTCTTGGCTGTCTTGCACTTTAAATGTTTTTTTTTTGGCCATATTTTGGACTATTCGAAAAACTGTATTAATGCTAAATCTGGCTCCGTAACATGTTCCAGTCTAAACAGGCCGATGTTTTTGTCTCGTGTATAGTAATGTTTAAAAGTTGTCTAAGTGTGCTCATCTTTCCTTGTAGTCCGTGAATGACTCGTGTTACCAAGGCGACGACTCTGTGCTGAAGTCGCTGGTAGAAATCGCAGACACAGCTCCGAAATACCTGCGACCGAACCTGGAGGCGACGCTGCAGCTCTGTCTCAAGGTCAGTACCATGGGCAATAACGGTTCACATGGTACAGTCAAAAGGCAGGACCATAAGATACAACCTGCAGCTAGTGTATGCATTTTTGTTGAATTCATGGACTTATTTTGACTGTTTTGACTGTCTTCAGGATACTTGTTGTTGAAATGGATGATGAACGAGTCGTGGAAGCTGTTAAACTATTCATTAAATCATGGGCAGGACTCTACAAGGACTCTGATGTGACTGTCTCTGTGTGACACGTATGTCTTTCCATGTGTGACGTGACAATGACTATATAAACTGTGTACTGACTTTATTCTGTCTGAGAGAAAGAAACAAAGGAAACTCCCTCAAAACAATCCAGAGAATGGCGCACACTGAGCCGCGCATTCTCCACCAAATCTGTCAGGAATGAAGCAGACGGATCGTGGCGCGCCAAACTCTGGAAGTTTATTTAAGTTTCTCTCAAGTTCCAGTGGTTTCCTTTTGTTTCTTTCAGACAGAATAAAGGCAGTACAGTTTGTATAGTCATTGTCACGTCACACATGGAAAGACGTGTCACACAGAGACAGTCACATCATAGTCATAATAATCAGTCCTTGTTGTTGTCCTGCACGTAGGCCATATTGCTATCTAATACTAACACACTAATGGGGAAAATGTAATGGTTTGAATCTGGGAGTCCTAGTGTCGGTGCCTGATGACGACCTCCTCCTGATCATCCATGTTTTTGTTTAGCTCTGCGCTGACACAAACCTGTCCAACATGCAGCGGCAGCTCTCCCTCGAGGTCATCGTCACGTTATCAGAGACCGCGGCCGCCATGTTGAGGAAGCACCAGGCCCTCGTGGCTCAGAGCGGTGAGAAACCTCCCCTTCTAGTGTTGGCTTTTTATTTATAAAACTTTAAAACACACACTTCTAAGGCTCCAGAAGCTGCTTTAGCTTGGAGGTAGGCCCCAAAACACTACATTTTAAACGTATTCCTTTTTTGTTTTTCTCAGTTCCCCAGATGTTGACCATGATGGTGGATTTGGAAGAGGACGAGGACTGGGCCCAGGCGGACGAGCTGGAGGACGATGACTTTGACAGGTACACGCCGTCTCGAGGTCCTGGGTCTCGGCCACGACTTCCAAATGTTTAGTGTCTTCAGTCACGCTGCGGCCCGTGAGAGCAGCCTGAACTGAACCTGGTTTCTCTGGGATCCTCCTGCTGCTTCTGACACATGACGTAAATGTGTGGTTGCAGTAATGCGGTGGCTGGAGAGAGTGCTCTGGACAGAATTGCCTGTGGCCTCGGAGGGAAGATCATCTTACCCATCATCAAACAGCACATTATGCAGATGCTCCAGAATCGTACGTCTCACACATTTACAGATTATAACAAACCATTGAAAAATAACACTTTAAATTGGCTTTAATCTGACAGAAGCCAATGTTGGTGCTCAGAGAATAGACTATATAATCTCCCGTTACAGTAGTGTGTAATACAGCCCTGGTCTGCCCTTGCTCTTTCTCTCGCCCCATACTTGTGTAAAACTTGTCCAATCCTTTTCCTGGTTTGCAGAGGACTGGAAGTACCGGCACGCAGGGCTCATGGCTCTGTCTGCGATCGGAGAAGGATGTCACCAACAGATGGAGACTATTCTGAACGAGATTGTCTGCGTGGTGCTCCGCTTTTGCGCCGACCCGGTGAGGAAACGCTTGGACTAAAAACAGTCAGTCTGGTTGCTGATATTCTGTGTGAGCTAACGGCTAGCAGAGCCTGTTATAGCAACTGTGGCGGTGAAACGCAAAATGATATTGAACTCTAGTGATGAGAGATTGGCTTTGGTTAATGATTCAAAGTTTGCTTTTTATATAGTGCTCACATAAACATTATTTAAACTATTGATTAAAGCTCGGGTACCTTAGTTTGTTAAACGCAAACCTGTCTTTATTCCCATTAGAAATCATTACATATTTTGTTAGAAAGAGCCGCCTCAGTCACTATTTGACCAGCTTCAGGAAATATGAATGGATCTGGTCAAATAGTGGCTCACAGGGCTCCAAGCAGGGCACCGCCTGGTAAGTGCTGTGATGGGAGACCTCTGGGGACACCAGGTGCCACAGAAGGGTGGTCGTAAAGTGCCATTGTCCCAACCACATAATCTGGAATAATAGGTTGCAGGGTCAGATGGCACATACTGGTTGCCTCACTTCAGTCTGGGCAGCTGTGGCCATGTTTGTAGTTTATAACCACTGTTTATGGAAGTCATGAAGAATGCTGTGATTAGTCCAGAAAGCACTATATAAAACATGATGCAAGAAAGTCTGGGACCAAAGACTACTTTGGATTGTAATCGACGCCTGTACAAAGTTTTGAGGACGAAATTTCCTGAAGTGAAGCTTTCTTCATAGGCAAGTTTATTTGTATAACACAAGGCAACTAAAAAGTGCTGAATAAATTAAGATGGTATTTATGATTTAAATAATCACAGAAAAAATACATAAAATCCCTCCGTTGTATGCACAGCTAAACAGAAGTGTTTTAACCCGGATTTAAACATAGTCAGAGCAGAGTCTTCAGGAAGAATCTGAAAGTCTGGGAAAAAATTAAATCTGCTAAAGTTGGGGTGAAAGTGTTGCTTATTAGTTTCAGTACGTTGCACTCTCCATGATGCTGCTCGTGTGTCACTGTGGTAAACGTTTGTGTCGCTCTGCTCCCAGCATCCTCGTGTGCGGTACGCAGCCTGTAACGCGATTGGACAGATGGCCACAGACTTCGCTCCCACTTTTCAGAAGAAGTTCCACGACAAGGTGAATAGTTTTTCCATCGATCTTCAGATTTCTTTTGCCTGTAGTTCCTTCCCAAACTTCTCCTCTGCTGCAGGTGATCGTGGCTCTGCTGGAGACCATGAAGGACCAGGGGAACCCCAGAGTCCAGGCCCATGCTGCAGCCGCGCTCATTAACTTCACAGAAGACTGCCCAAAGTCTCTGCTTGTCCCGTACCTGGACAGTCTGGTCCAGCATCTGTGCGCCATCATGCAGGCCAAGCTACAGGAGGTAAGTCCTACAGCCAAAGTCTATGGGACCAGTTTGAGGTCTGGAGTCTATGGATTATTTTTACGTTTGTGGCGATTCCATAGACTCTCACTCGGTCTGTAAATACTAATACATAGATGGATAGTGTCCAGTAGCAGCAGAAGCGCATTCATTTACATTAGCATACCAAATATTGGCTTACCTCCAGTGAATTTCTGCTTGGTTTGGTCCGTGAATCCTCTCTGCTCTGCACCAGTGCAAAACCTTGAACACTTTACTGCAGTAACATTTACAGGTAAAGCACAAACTGTTTCAGAGCTACTGTTGACTTTGTCGTTTCTAGCACATTCAAAAGTAAAATCATGGCCGAGCAGCTGTAGGATTTGGATAAATGGAAATGTATTGCTTGGCGCCTCCAACAGGTGGGAGCACTTTGTTTCCCTGTGGTAGGGTCCAGTGGAGCAGCTCGTGGGCTCTGCATGAGTTGGTATTGAATGTGACAGAAGCATATTTACTGTTTTTGATAAATACTGTGTACATGGGTGGACAGTGTAGTTTGACAGCTCTCTCTGCGTCCTCTCAGCTGATCCAAAAGGGCACGAAGCTGGTCCTGGAGCAAGTAGTGACGTCCATCGCCTCCGTGGCCGACACGGCGGAGGAGAAGTTTGTGCCGTACTACGACCTCTTCATGCCGTCGCTCAAGAACATTGTGGAGAACGCGGTTCAGAAGGAGCTGCGGCTGCTGCGCGGGAAGACCATCGAGTGCATCAGCCTCATCGGGCTCGCTGTGGGCAAAGAGAAGGTGACTACATCCTGTTCTGTCTGATTCACTTTATATGTCATTTGCAGTAAAACCACATTGGAATACATGTGCATAAGTGCATCGTTTTATACCTGGCTCTCTAACGGCATCTCAGGCCTAGACTCAAAAATAACTGAAAATGCACATTTCTAAACCAGGTTCAAGAGCGGAACAATCAGCTGAAGAGATACTAAATATTTCAGATGTCGGGCTGAACACTTTCACTTTTCTAAATGCTTTGCCTTCGGGCACAAAAACACTGATTGTGTTGACATAACTGATGGTCTTAGTTATTACCAAAGAGATAGTGTAAATTAAATAAAACTTGTTAAAGCTGGATAACTAATTAGTATTAATTCATAACCGAATGTGGTCAAAAATCAAAGTATTGGTGATGAACAGGACTATAGTTGTGGTGTAGGTCCTGTTTTATGGTTTGACAGTTGCATACTCTCCTCAACGAACTGTTTGAACTTGTTCCTATTTGTTTCAGTTCATGTCTGACGCCGCAGCAGTGATGCAGCTGCTGCTGAAAACACAGACAGACTTCAACGACCTCGAGGACGACGATCCACAGGTCAGACCTCAGACTCAGCATTTTAAACATGTGTCAAATGCACTAGATCAGTGTTAAACCCCGTTCTCTCGCTCTGTGTCTCTCTCGCTCTCTCTCTGTGCATGTCTCTCTCGCTCTCTCTCTGTGCATGTCTCTCTCGCTCTCTCTCTGTGCGTGTCTCTCTTGCTCTCTACTTGTCTTCCCCACAGACGTCCTACATGATCTCGGCCTGGGCTCGCATGTGTAAGATCCTGGGGAAGGAGTTCCAGCAGTACCTTCCTGTGGTGATGGGGCCCCTCATGAGAACCGCCTCCATCAAACCAGAGGTGGCGCTACTCGACAGTAAGTCAGGTTTATTTGTAGAGCACACTCCATACACAACTCTCCGGTATCATAAATGATCACAGAACAGAAGAGCGACACAATCCTTTCACTTGCACAGCTAAACAGAACTGTTGGACAATGCTCAAATCCAGGTGAAAGGAAGCCTGTAACATTTTCAGGAAGACTTTCAGATTTTGGCTGCAGAAATCACTGGGTATTCAATGGGAACACTGTTTCGATTGTTGGGTACCTAATCTTTTAAAACTTTCAAACCACTTCCAGATAACCATGGTCCTCACTTTCATGTCTGAAAGAGCTGATCTAATGATCCATCGGCTCTTTCATGTTTTGTCTGATTTATTCACACTACTTTAAAAAAGCTTTTTTATAGTTATGTATTGTAGTGTAATAAAGTCAGAGCCGAGTTCCCTCTTTATGAAGATATTTGTGTATAGTTTGAACAAGTTTATTTTGTTGTTCTTAGCTCAGGACATGGAGAGCATCTCTGAGGACGACGGTTGGGAGTTTGTGAACCTCGGAGATCAGCAGAGCTTCGGAATAAAGACGGCAGGGCTGGAGGAGAAGGCCACGGCCTGCCAGATGCTGGTGCGGCCATATCACTTTAATATATTTGACAGGGACATAGTCAACGTAGAACAAAACAAGCTTGTAACTGATGCGATGAATATTGGCAGTAGCCCAAACTCATCTGAATATGACTGGTTTATGTTCCAGGTGTGCTACGCCAAAGAACTGAAGGAGGGCTTTGTGGAGTACGCCGAGGAAGTGGCCAAACTCATGGTTCCTCTGCTCAAGTTCTACTTCCACGATGATATCCTTTTTACACGTCTTTTCCACTCATTTCACACTTGTGTTTACTTCTGTTTTTGAACATCTAACATGGTGCGACCTGCTTTAAAACTGTAATCTGACTGAAACTCTCAAAGCTCACGAAACAAACCAGATCAGTAGTTGTCGTTGTGCAGTTTGTCCAAATGTTCTCAGTAAGAGCCACTTTAGCAGAATAAAGCATAAAATGTCCATTGACGTGTCTGTAGCAGCTCCTCTTATGGTCCTTGACGTGGTCCACGTGTGCGAGTGGCGGCTGCAGAGTCCATGCCGCTCCTGCTGGAGTGTGCTCAGGTGCGGGGCCCTCAGTATCTCTCTGACATGTGGAAGTTCATGAGCGAGCCGCTGATCAAAGCCATCGGCACGGAGCCCGACTCGGACGTGTTGTCGGAGGTCATGCACGCCTTCGCCAAGTGCATGGAGCTGATGGGTGACGGCTGTCTGGAGAAGGCCCAGTTTGAGGAGCTGGGGGGGATCCTGAAGGCCAAGCTGGAGGAGCACTTCAAGAACCAGAGACTCAGACAAGGTACGAGGGATTTCATTCACACAATGTCCAGTTTGTGAAAGTGCTCTGTAAACTGACGTCAAGATTTAATAACACGCACATGAGGTCCATAGAAAACAGCAAAATAACTGGACTCCATAAACTACTTCTACACCAACCGCTGTCTGAAGCTATCGGGGATTTTATTGTTTTCCGCTAACTGAAAATATTTTGTATCAAAGCTGTGCCACAAATCGAAAGATTCAACTTTTCCTGTTGCTGTTTTAAAGATAAACATTGGAACCAGATTTAACTAAAATAATAAATGGATTGTACTTAGTCCCTGCTACTAGAATTTTTAAAAGCGGCATTGGACACTTATTTGACCAAATTTCTCCTTTTTGTACATTTTTTTTTCTGAATCTCTTTGCAATTTGGATGCAGCAGATTGTAAAATGACTAACATAAACATCTGCATATTCTAATTTTAAAACTTCTGTCATATCCAGTTTGTAAAATCTGTTGTCCAGGGATTGGTCAAAGCAAAGGAAGGTTTCTCACCAATCATCTGTACTTACCAGGTTTTCTCGACGTTACTTCATGAAGTAGTGGTTAAATACTAGTATTTAAATACTAGTATTTAACCGTGGACGGCAGGAGGTATTTAGGTGTCATATTCTCTGCTGCTTAAGTACAATAGAAAAACCAAGAGTAATGGTAGTAACAGCAGCAGGTAGTGACTAGTGAGTGGCACATAGACTCTGCAGGTTTCATTGTACAGTCTGACAGCAGCAGAACCTCTCCTTTACACCACGAGGGTCTGAGGACTTTGAACAGTTTGATTCTGACAATTCCTCAACAGATGAAATGCAATAAACGCCTCACAGGAGTCATTGGTCCAGAAATGTTAATGATGTAAAAGTTTATTTTCTTCAGACAAAAGAGAAGATGAAGACTACGATGAGCAGGTGGAGGAGACGTTACAAGACGAGGTGTGTCTCTAATCTCCTCCTTCCTCTGTTTAGCTCCTTCCTGTGTTTATGACTAAAATATATCACTGATTGGTTTTCAGGACGAGAACGACGTGTACATTTTGACCAAAGTGTCGGACATCCTGCACTCGGTCTTCAGCTCGCACAAAGAGAACGTCCTGCTGTGGTTTGAGCAGCTGATGCCGCTGATCGTGGAGCTGCTGGTGAGTCTCAGAGGCTGAAGTTTCTGCTTCTATCATGTGGACTTATCTGTATTTATGGTCTTTTTATGATCGATCAGGGAAAGACTGGACTACAGTCCAATACTCCATCCTCCAACTTAAATGTTCCTGTTTTGGCTGCCTCTGGTCTCTCTCTCTCTCTCCCTGGTGTCTCTCTCTCTCTCTCCCTGGTCTCTCTCTCTCTCTCTCCCTGGTCTCTCTCTCTCTCTCTCCCTGGTGTCTCTCTCTCTCTCGCCCTGGTGTCTCTCTCTCTGTCTGTCTCTCTTAGGTGATGTTCTACGATGGCAGCTCTGGCTCTGGGACACGATCACATGCTCGCAAATGTATTGGATTAAATGGTTCATTATTTTCTTTAAAAATAAGTACCCATTCATTTCAGAGTCAAAGGATGAATATAAAAATGTATTATCTACAATAATTCTGTTTGTATGACATGAATAACGTGCACATGCTGACACACACTTCCTCCTCCTGCAGAGAGCAGAGCGGCCCTGGGCGGACAGACAGTGGGGCTTGTGTATCTTTGACGACGTGGTGGAGCACTGCAGCCCCTCCTCCTTCAGATACGCAGACTTCTTCTTGGGGCCGATGCTGCAGTCGCTCGTGGACCCGGTGGCCGAGGTACGGCAGGCGGCTGCGTACGGTGTGGGCGTTATGGCGCAGTATGGTGGCGCCAACTACTGCAAGTTCTGTAAAGGTATTACAGCAGTAATATAGAATCAAACTAATATCTTCCGCTTCATCCATTGGCGGGTCACGGGGGCAGCAATCCGAGACCAGCTGGTGATCAGCTGACTGTTGTCGTGTCATCTGACATTTTGGAGCAAAGTCAATCGTCTACCTTCGGCCTCCAGTCCTGGTTCCATGTGCACCCCATGGGTGGTTGGTCCACGAGAGGGCCTGCCCCGTGGGCAAACGAAGTAGCAGTTTTTATGTATTTGTGTACAGCCCTGAAAACTGCTGTATTCTCAGGACTTTGAATCTGTTGTTGGTGAATCAACTACTTATAAGAGAATCAAACACACAAAACGCAAGAATAAACACAGGAGCCATTGGTCCATCGGAAGCAGGACGATCGCTGTCCTTAGTCCATGAGGGTCGATTGAGTCCAGGAAAACTAGACTCAGAACTGTATTTTATTGCTCCATAGTGTCAAAGTTGCAGAGGCAAAAACCCGGGACTGGGAGGAGTTCGGAGAGTCCATGGAGCATGACTATCGGTCGGCCTCGAAGAGATTCTGGCAAACCATCCGGCGCCTCAGGAGGGGGAAGCAGTTCTTTGCCAACACCATGTACGGTGCGGGTGGAGAGCTGCTGACCTCGACTGGGGATATTGTCGGGCGGTGGAAGGAATACTTTGAGGTTCTCCTCAATCCCCCCGTCACGTCCTCTGTTACAGAGGCTGAGGATGTTGGGGCGGATACATCTATCTCCCTGGCTGAGGTCACCAAGGTGGTTGGTAGCCTCCATGGTGGCAAGGCTCCGGGTGTGGATGAGATCCGCCCTGATTATCTAAAGTCTCTGGATGTTGTAGGACTGTCTTGGCTGACACGTCTCTGCAACATCGCGTGGCGATCGGGGGCAGTGCCAATTGAGTGGCAGACCGGGGTGGTGGTCCCTCTCTACAAGAAGGGGGACCGGAGGGTGTGTTCCAATTATCGTGGGATCACACTCCTCAGCCTCCCCGGTAAGGTCTACTCCAGGGTACTGGAGAGGAGGTTACGGCCGATGGTCGAATCTCGGATCCAGGAGGAGCAGTGTGGTTTTCGTCCCGGTCGCGGAACACTGGACCAGCTCTATACTCTCCATCGGATACTCGAGGGTTCATGGGAGTTCGCCCAACCTGTCCACATGTGTTTTGTGGATTTGGAGAAGGCGTTCGACTGTGTTCGCCGGGGTGTCCTTTGGGGGGTTCTCCGGGAGTACGGGGTCGGGGGTCCTCTGCTGAGGGCCATCCGATCCCTGTATGACCGGAGCCAGAGCTGTGTTCGCATTGCCGGCAGTAAGTCAGACCTGTTCCCGGTGAATGTTGGCCTCCGACAGGGCTGCCCTTTGTCACCGGTTCTGTTCACTGTATTTATGGACAGAATATCTAGGCGCAGCCAGGGGTCGGAGGGGGTCCGGTTCGGAGACCACAGGATTTCATCTCTGCTGTTTGCGGACGATGTTGTCCTGTTGGCTCCAACGAACCAGGACCTGCAACATGCACTGGGGCGGTTTGCAGCAGAGTGTGAAGCGGCTGGGATGAGAATCAGCACCTCCAAATCTGAGGCCATGGTGCTCGACCGGAAAAAGGTGCCTTGCCCTCTGCAGGTGGGTGGAGAGGTCCTTCCTCAAGTGGAGGAGTTCAAGTATCTCGGGGTCTTGTTCACGAGTGAGGGAAGAATGGAGCGTGAGATTGACAGGCGGATCGGTGCAGCGTGCGCAGTGATGCGGTCGCTGTATCGGACCGTTGTGGTAAAGAGGGAGCTGAGCCGAAAGGCAAAGCTCTCAATTTACCGGTCAATCTTCGTTCCCTCCCTCACCTATGGTCATGAGCTTTGGGTAATGACCGAAAGAACGAGATCGCGGATACAAGCGGTTGAAATGAGCTTCCTCCGCAGAGTGGCTGGGCGCTCCCTTAGAGATAGGGTGAGGAGCTCAGTCACACGGGAGGAGCTCGGAGTAGAGCCACTGCTTCTCCACGTCGAGAGGAACCAGTTGAGGTGGCTCGGGCATCTGTTCCGGATGCCTCCTGGACGCCTCCCTGGGGAGGTGTTCCGGGCACGTCCCACCGGGAGGAGGCCCCGCGGAAGACCTAGGACACGCTGGAGGGACTATGTCTCTCAGCTGGCCTGGGAACGCCTTGGGGTCCCCCCGGACGAGCTGGAGGAAGTGTGTGTGGATAGGGAAGTCTGGGCGTCTCTGCTTAGACTGCTGCCCCCGCGACCCGACAACGGATAAAGCGGAAGAAAATGGATGGATGGATGGATGGATGGATGTTTCTAACCTAGTCTCCCCTCTCCCTGTCAGAGGC